ATTTCGAAAACATATAAGAATTTGAAAAAGAGATTAAATATCTAAAAAAGTTCCAGGAATTTTATTGATAGAATCCAGATTTATTTAAAAAAAAAAAAGAATTTATCGTTTTTTATAAAAAAGGATCGAAAGAATCAAAATCGTTTATAAGAATTTCATTAAGATTAATGAAGTCAATTGATAATCGACCAAATCGACCAAATTGATCAAATTAATCAGAAAACGATAAAAAGATTACAAGAATTTCTTTATTCTTTTCATTTCACTCTTTTTCTTCAAAAGCATCAAGTTCATCAAAGTATTTGAACTTATAATACAACATTTTATCACATCGTTTTTTGAATTATATTTTCTATTTAACAAAGCAAACAGTTTTAACAAAAAACTTTACGATTTTAATATCCAATTTATCAATCTATCGATCAAGACTCTCTTAATTATACTCTCAAAGAATTTCATAATCCCAATCATCTTCTAAATGAAACTCAACATTACATAAAATAGAATTTCGTATATATTCCGAACAATACAAACAATATTTATTAAAGAGATCTTTAATACAACAATAATTCTCTTATCGATAATAAAAATAAGGAATTATTTCGATATTAATAAAATTGATAATTGTAATTAAATATATATATTCCTTCTTCTTTTTTCGAATTAAACTATTAAAAGAATCAAAATTGTTTATAATAAAAAAAGAAAAACAAATAGAATATAAGAAAGGAAAAAACATTAATTATTAAATAGAATCTAGAAGATTATAAATAATTAAAACAATACTTAATTAAGAAAGGAATAATATCACAATTCATAATTAAGATTATAATATATTGAAAAACAATAATCAACTTATTTATATAAATTTAAATTTTATCGAAAAGCAAAGCGATTTATATACAAATTTGTATAATAATCGCCTTATATAATCTCCTCATTTTTAACAAGTTTGGATATATAATCTGATTCTAATTATATAATAAAGAGTTCTGGGAACTTCGAAAACTCTTAGAGCTTTAAAAGCTTTTTGGAGTTTTAGGGTTTTTTAAAGTTCCTTTATATTCATTAATATATAATCAGAATAGTTTTATAGTTTAAAAGCTTTGTATTCAATTTAATTATCAATTAGTTTATTTATATTCCAATTGATCTAGTAATGTATTCATCTTCGAATAGATAATCAATGATTATTAACCTTAACCTATAACTACCAACCAGACGAAACCCTGAGGCAGCCGCTGCCTCAACCAGATCGTTACAGGGGGTCCTAATCACTTTCGATTAGGAACCCAGGAGCTTTTGGGCTCCAAAACGCTCCTTTCTTTTAGTAGTATATAGTCAGAATAGTTTCATAATTTAGGAGCTTCATGCTCAGTTTAGTTCTCAATTAGTTTACCTACATTCTACTTGATCTAATAACGACTTCATTTCCAAGTGAATAACCAGCGATAACAGCCTTAACCTACAACTACCATCTAGACGAACCTTGGGCAGCCGCTACCTCGACCAGATCGTTACATATATAAAGATATATAAAATTATTTAATTTCTATAATAATACTATAAATATAAAAAAGCTTATTTTATTATTAAAGTTATGATTTCAAAATAAATACATTTATAAATTTATTTATTATATTAAGTTCAGTACTATGTCTATACTCAAAACTAATAAATATATAATTATTTTCAGATTTACTAATCTATACAATTCAAAAGCTATCCTGGCTCCGAATTCGTCCGCTTCCGGGTTCTCTTATATCTCAAGTGTCATGAAAGATTATCAACTGATCCTACTTATTATGTTTCCTCAAAAAGTAAGAGTACGATACTATCATATAATAAATACATTTCTTTTCTTTTGACCTGTAATACTACATCTCCAGAATTCAAATACAGGTATCCTCGCCGATACAATCTACAAGGGGACTTGGTCACCACCCATTCATTGAATCATACTGCTAACTCGGGGTACCAACGGTCCATGCTAGACTTTCCGCCCCTCAATCTAGCCTCTCTATTCCGAACTTCCCACCTCGCTTACACCTCAGAAGGGTGCATAGTAGGCTAGGGTCGCCAGGACTCTTGAAGAGTCCTGCTCTTTCATTAATCCTCATAACTTTATACAAATTATCTATACAGTATAAGTAATTACAAATTTGCAATCTTATTTATTAGATCGAAAGCACGCGGTGTTTATGCTATGTAGAGTATAGAATTATAACGACTATTCAAGGGACTTCTAATGGTGACCCCTCAAAGATTGGAGTGTGAATGGAGTGGGGCGATAGAGAGGGGTTCTAGTACCAGGTGGGTTGGTGTCCACGATCGAATACTACCATAGTTATAAAACATATAAAACAAGCTGCGTAAGAATTAGCTCTTTAGACCCACCACCGCAAAGATATTCGGGGATACTTTTATCACTATTATTTACAGAGTAGTGCCTTATCGTCTCTTCTAATTCTACTTTTTGATTTCTAGCCCCTATCTTCTTCTATCTATCCACTTCTAGTCTTCTCATTGTAGAATCCCAATCTTAAAGTACAACCTACTTTATATCATTACATAGGTTACATTACGCTCATTACATTACATCATGATATTCTCATATCACCTTAACCTACCATAATGCCCCACTCCCTCACAGCATTATAACCCCACAATCGCACTCTAATACCCTCTCGCTCCTACTCCCACTCCCACTCCCACTTCTACTTCTACTTCTAGTTCACTCTTATCCACTAGCTACCCATCTAACATATTATCTATTATCAATTATATACCATCTGACATTCCAAGTATCATAGAACCCGACCTATCCGTTCATGCAGATAGAAATAAGGTAATCAAATAATAAAGTACGGTAATATCTCAATCGCAGCCCTACCCCACTCCACCCCACTACATCCCGTGCAGATCTAGATCTCGATTCTACCCGACGGGGAACTATCTTAGTTTCCGCCATGATCCTTTTGTAAATGTAACCGTATCCATCTCCTTCTCTTTTTCCTGTTCACATACACGGAGATTATACAAGATATTTATTTATAAGTGTTTTATTGTTTTTTAAAATGAGGTGGGGGGAGGGCTGATAGATGGATGATGGATGATGGGTGATGGGTGATAGAGGAATTGGAGTAACTAGATGAGTAGTTAGACGGTAACTTTCCGGCTGCTGGCTGGATGATTGAGTAGGTAATTTAGCTTGCAGTCGAATTTAGAAGTGCACTACAATTTGGAGTACATATACGGGATCCAAAGATACTATGCATGTTTAGGGAGTTGCAATTGGATAGATGCACGGCAGAATTAGAGGTAATGTATTGCTTGTTGCGATTGGGAGTTGGGAGTCGGGAGTTGGGATGGCAACACTGAGGATAGGGGATTCGGATTTCGGAATTGGAATTTGAAATTGGGAATCTGGAGCGTGCATGTGGAGTGTATAGTATATACAGATGGATAGAGTGGAGGGAATGGGAAGTTTTCGGGCGATCTTACTAATTTTTGTGGATGGGGTGGGATGGGATGGGATTACTCCGTGCTCTGGAAATATACGGATCCGAAGTAGAGTAGTAGTTTGGTGTGATGTAGGGGTAAGTGGGATGTAATGTAATGTAATGTGATGTGATGTGATGGATCATCAACGGCACTCCATAGTAACTATTCATGCGTCCAAATAAGCGAGACGAGTGAGCTAGGGTGGATTTCAAATTCTTGCAGTACCTAATATATATGGGGAATAATCGGCTTAGATATTAGGTGTGCGGCTTAGTTGCTTTAGCTAGCTCTAGTGAAGAGGGATTTTGATATTTTTTGGTTATTGCCGTACTCCGTATATTGGATTAAATGGGCGGGGCGGGGCCGCGCCGGCTGACTCTGTGGTGGGTTTCATCGGTGGGTTTGAATGTGTGTGATGGATTTGTGATGAATGTGAAATCTCGGCCATATTATTTATGTCTTGGTTGGATTGGGGCTGAGGATGTCGATATTGACTCGTAGTTGTAGTCTAGTGTAGCTTGAAGTTGTATGCGGATGTGAAGTGATTAGAGATGGAGATGGGACATGAGAAATCTGATGGAGTCACATGCAATCTTATCATGGATCAAGGCTTGATCCTTCAAGTTTGAAAATAGCAATCGTTATTTTACTTATTGTTATTCAAGAAAACTTATCTTCATCGCGTAACAAAAATCTCTATAGTATATAGGAATGAAATCTTAGTAGACGGATGCTGATCAGTATCTTCTACTACACTTATTGAGATTATTAATAATTTATTTTTTTATAAAATCATTATAATTTGTTATTTAATATTTAATATCTGATATTTAATATTATAAAAAAGTTAAAATTATAAGATTATATAATTTTATAATTAAATACAATTTTTTAAAGCAATTAATTTTATATATATTTTTTTAATTTATATAATTTTAATTTTAAACTTTTATAAATTTTTTTTTTTTTATAAATAAGATCTTGATAATATAATATAATTATATTTTTTAATTTTTTATTTTTTTTTAATAAATAATAAATTAAACTCTTTTAAAATGTTATATATATTTATACTTTTAACTATTTAAATATATATATAAACAAAAAATCACATCAAATCAAATTATAATAAAACAGTTCTATAATCATATATTTAGTTATCTCTTCATTTCTTCATTTGTTTACACACTCGTCTATACACCCGCCTATACACTCACCCGCACACTCAAATACCTACTATCTTATCCTATCTTAACTATAACTAAACATCCAATCTCCAATCTCCAATCCCCAGCCCATAATCCTTAATCCTTAATCCCAAAATCCCAAAATCTCAAAATTCCCCAAGTCCCCAAAAACTCAATCCACCCTCCCTCTCCTCCCTCCCTCCATCCTCTCTCCCTCCTCCTCTTCTCTCCTCCCCCTCCTCCGTCCCTCATCTCCCATCTACATCCACCCTAAACACTTCACCCCAAATCCACTACCTACCGTTCCCCCTCCTCATCTCATCTCATCCTCTCAAAGTCCTTCCATATGTACCCATCATCAAGATCCTTCCAAAATTTCTTGTTACCCCTCAAGCCCCGCTCATCTATCATATCGTATCATACCGTATCACATCATACCATATCTCCTATAATATAAACCCAAATCGAACCACATATAGAAAATCCATCCCTATCAAAAGCAGACACAAAAATCTCCAGTTATTTCATTTTCGATTCGAGGAAAGAATAATCATATGATATAGATTTGCATGTCCTGCAAAAAACCCCCTAAACACATCGCAAAAACTTCCTTTGAACTTCCTTAAAAAATATAAACACAAAAATATTACTCCCAATGCCTGCATCATTATCATCATAATTTTCCCTTCCTACAAAATCGATGCATGATAAACTGAGTTCAATTACTCACTTTTCAACTACTCCTCTTCCTAGCCCAATTACCATATCCGCCACCAGCTCCTCCTCCCCCTTTGCTACCCATACCCAAGCCGTCCTCCTCCGGTGTCCACTCTTCAGGTTGAAAATTCGGATTATTATAATGCGCGGTATTATAATGACTATTTTTAAACGTGCTAGTTTGAAAACTAGGTACAGGGCCTTCTTGTAAATCAGCTGTTATGGCCCATTCGTATTTACTGGGCCGAAAGCTGGGTGCTGGTATACCTAACGCGGTTGGAGATGGAATAGCATGAGGATGAGGTGGTGGAAGTGTATGAATAGGAAGAGTCGTTTGTGTACTTTGAAATGGGTGTGGAGAGGTGATGATTGGGGTGGGAGTATTGATTGAAGTAAAAGATGAACGGGTGGGAAGACTTGTGACCGAAGTTGTGGATTGTGGCGTTGAGACCGAGTTTCCCGTAGGTGACATGGGTGATAGGGCGGTAGATAGGGTGGTAGATGGTGTAGGTGCAAATGATTGGGACATGGGAGATTGATATTGCGAAGAGCCAAAATTTGAATACGGTGATGGAAGACTGACACCTGGAATGCTGAAGAGGAGATCCATGGTTTGATATGTATTCATAGCCGGGTTTGCCTGAGGGGAATGTTGATGGGTAAAATTGGTGGCTCGATTAACTTGGATGTTTGAGCTCATCTCAATGCTCTGCCGTAAAAGATCTTTATACAAGATGTCGTAATGTCCTGGCCTGTAGAGGAGATATATGATCGGGCCTGCTGGGTTTGTGGGCTGACCATTTGAGTCTTCAGCTTGAAACATGTGACTGTTGACTTGTGTCCCTTCACTGCGATCGAGGTAGACAATCTCCACGGCAAATCCAGCAGGTTTTAGCAGAACATCTATGAGCAAAGTCATGCCAAGATGATCGATTTCTTGATTTGGCGGCTCCAACCAATCTTTCCTGTATTGATCGATACCACCGCCATCCGGTATAAAACCTTGATAGTTTTGAGGATTGGCTTTAAGCCATGAGCTAGCTAGCAACCGACAGTGATATACGATAGCGTTCGAGGTCTCCGAGTTGTTGAACCGATCCAGGATGAGGGACTCGGCAGCTTGTATGGAAGTATCCATTACATCTGCTACATCTCTCAATAGGCGAATGGTTTCATCTACCATATCCTCAAAAAGCCAAGCATCGAATCCCCCGGCCGTCGTGAGTAAATTGTTCAGCGACATCATTCTCGCTAGTTCTTCCTCCACTTGACCTCTGTTTCCCATCCCCAACAAAGTTTCGAAATAGGAAAACACAGCGGCTACACACCAGGTAAAAATCAGCTATACTCATAACAATATCTTATGATGGCGAATATCATGTCCGTGTGCACGGGTATGATCAAGCACCAAGCTTAGGAGACTTACCCCGCCATCCACAATTTCCATCGCCAAGAATCGGTCGATAATGAGAATATTTCTGCGGTAATGCCTATCTCTGATGGTTAGTTTATGGGTAGCGTAGATGGCATATTCTGCGATAGGTCACTTACAGAAGTCTTCGATACATATATTGGATCGGCTTTCGCATATTCCTCAGTTATCGCCATACTGCTCCTCTTATCCCCCACTAATGGACCCTACTACATGTCAGTTTCCAGCTCTATACTAAATATCCCACTCATCCCATTCCGTAGCTCTTTTGAAGCTTCCGCAGTAGAGTAAAAGACAATTCATACCACTAAAGCCGGTTGGAAATCCCTGGCTAGAGCTTCCTGAGCTTCCAAATCATTGACTCCATTGTCCTCCATTTTGTATTGTTGTTGACTGTGATGTGCGAAAGATGGTGATAAAGAAGGATTGGTGTTGGAATTATGGGATATATTAATAGTGCCCGTTACATTCGAGTTCGAATTAGAGTTCGGCGCGCTATTATTGACGGGGTTAAAAATTGGTTGCTGTGGATGTCGTTGTTGGAATTGTTGCAGGGTATTTCCTAGTCCACGTCCTGCCGCGGCAGCTTGCCCCGGTTGATTTGCAACAACAATTGAGACAAGATTATCCACGATTGCTGTAGTCGCCGGTGGTGTATGTGCGGAGGATGAACAATGAGGTAAAGAATTGGAGCGTTGCTGTTGTGCAAGAGATTGAGGATGAGGATGGGAGTGGGAGTGGGAATGGGATTGAGAGAGTTGATGATGAAGTGGTTGTGAGCTTGAAATCGAATTGTGATTGTGATTGTGATTGTTAATGTTAATGTTATGATTGTGATTGTGGCTGAGGTTTTGATTGAGGTTGTGGTTGTGGTTGTGTTGGTAATTGTTGAAATCCAGAAGTGGTGGAGGAGGAGGAGGTTGAGGTTGTGGTTGTGGAGATATATTTATTCCATATGAAGAGAAGGGTGAAAATGGTGTGGGCTGTGGTTGGAACATGATATGATAATAATAAGAAGTGAAGTTTCCTTCGACCTTTCCGTTCCTTTTCTTTCTCTTCTCTCTTTCCTTTCCGTTTTTTCCTTCACTTCTTGTTGAAATTTCCTGGGTCAATGAATTACTTTTTCTCTTTTCTCTTCTCTCTTCTCTCTTCTCTTGCTTCACTACGGCTTCTTCCTCTTCTTCTTCTTCTTCTTCTTCTCCTTTCTCTTTCCTTTCCTCTTTTCTCTTCCGTGTCTCAAAAATGCCCCAAATATCAAATCAATTCTTGCACTGAACTAATAAATCAAGTCGATTGAATTGGACTGAATCGACTCGACTTGAATTGTTTCCTCTCCTCTCCTCACCACAATACATTAATATATGGTCAAGGGAGACGTCAACGAAGCAAATATAAAAATAAAACCAAATCTGTAACGAATGACGAGCGAGTGTATGATTTGCAAAGAAGAAGCTTATTAAAAGCTACAATAAATAAATACCTAAGGCAGGTAGGCAAGCCCAAACTGCAAAAGGCCAAAAGATCTAATAAAATTCAAGCTCAAATGATTACCGGTAGGGAGGTAGGTGGTGGTAATGATCGACAAGAAGAACAAGAAGCGGATGTAACAAGCAAAAGTACGCAAAGAGTCAAAAAGAGGAGACTTTGAGAAACGATGTTTTGGAAAACCAGAAAAAATAATAAATAATAAATAATAAATAATAAATAATAAATAAATAATAAATAATAAAAAATAAATAAATAAATAGACTTTTTATTATTATTTAAGGTTGGCTAATTTGATTGATTGATTGATTGATTGACTGGTTGACGGGCTGATTGAATGATCGATAGATGGATGGATTGGTCGATTGATTGATTGACTGATGGATATTTATTTGATATTGATTTGATTTGATTTGATATCGATATTGATATTGCTATTGATATTTGATTTAGATATGTGAATATAACGTTGCCGTGAAATTGATGCAGGTTGTTGCAGGTGGATGGATGAAGATTTTCTTTGCTTAGCTGTATCGAATGTCTTGGGTGTTTGGAAAGTGGCTTTTTGGGCGCAATGGGCTAAAGTTTATTGGAGTCGTCCGGGAATTTTGTACTTTATGTGGTTTGATTTTGTGCAACACACCACTAAGAAAATAGCAACAAGTATGGAGTAGTCGTAGTAATAGTAGTAATAGTAGTAACAACAGTAAATAAAATGGAAAAAGGGAAAAGGAACAAAGTACTCAACTGAGTAAAGTGTGTCAAGTGTGTCAGTCTGTCTGTCACTCTGTCACTCTGTCAAGTGAGTAAAGTCATGTACCCGGTACGCACGCAGTACCCATACGGAGTAAAGGTAAAGTAGAGTGATGGGTACCAAAATATATGTACTGGGGTACTGGCTACCAAGAAGTAACAAGGGGAAGGGAGGGAAGGGAAGGGAGATAATGTACGGGATAAATGTACGGAGTATGTATGTATGTATGTATGGTGGATGGGGAGAGACAGGGTATTGTGCTAAATTCCAGATGTAAGGACCAGACCATGTACCGAGTAGGGGTCATGAAGGGGGTGCTTCGAGTAGATGGATGTAGCGAGGGTGGATGAACGAGTGAACGAGTAATTGACTGACTAGTCGATTGATGATGGATCTGTTGATTGACTGACTGATCGATTGATTGATTTGTTTCTTTGTCGAAATTTGTTTTATATATCTTCGCTTTTGTTATGGTGGATTCAATTCGAGTTGAGTTGTTCTCTGGTTATCTTAATATCCTCAAAGCATTCCGAATGCTAGCCGTCGTAAACTTCTTCGATTCCCCGTCTTATGCTTCTTCCCTCTCTTCCCTCCTTTGCTTTATCTTCTACGCGAGAATCCTGACTCCGGTTCTCGGGATAATTTTATCAAGGCGATGGATGTACTTCCAATAATAGTAGCTCTGACAACTATCCCCTTTCCTTTTTTACTCGTTCGTATATCTTTTAGATCCTTCTCGACTGTCTCGTCTCGTCTTCTTTCTCTTCGTTCGTCCGCTCGATGTTGAGTTGGGTTATGCATATACCGGTGACCTTACAGCTAATCCAGTCCAGTACCAGGGCCCCGCTCAAAACCGTTCGTTCATTCGGGCTTTAAACTTTCGTGTCCTGTAGGGTCCCCCCCGTTGGCTTTGAAAAATATGCAAAATCTATGTAGAGTAATATCTCGGTTCTTCTCTCAAGTGGCTTTTAGATTCAGCCAAAAATGCAGCAGTGGGTTTGAAGAATATTTCCAACGAAACAACACAACATGTACAAGAAGAGATCGAAGAGATAAGTAATCATGGACTTAATAATTCCGTGGTTCGATTTCTCGTTTTTAATTTATCCTGGGTAGAAGTCGTCGTGTTTTTGAGGCGTGGCCGATATTGTTGAATTAGACTTTGGGCTTGATCTCATCGATGTAGCCTGATGTATGGCTATGTATGAATTGTATGGCAATGTTCGATTCGATATCGTACGGCAATGTATGTAACGGCCCCACCTTTGCTCCTGCACATGCCCGATAAATTCTTCTTCCGCCGGTCGTGAAGTTGCAGCTGGGTCAGATTTTCTTTTCATGCTCGGCTGCTAATTTCTTACACAGTGCATAATACTGGCAAGTCAGAAGAAATTCATAATTTTCGGTTCTATTATTCTTATGCCTGTCGGTGTACGTGCGTGCTTCAGTTTGGAAGCTCCAGAGCTCCAGCTGCTCCTCAAAAGCATTGACGTGGAAGAAGAGTATAATTGTATGTATTAATAACTATGGGTGTGTTATGTACAAGTCTGGCCACGAATATACTTTGAGCCTTTGCCTCAAGAATAGGAACTCGTATGGTTGATCCAATGGTCCAAATTGCCTATGTCGCCTGTGCAGACGTTCTACCTTTCCCCCGGCTGCATGAACTTTCATATCATGTATCCATGGACACGGCTACTCTACTCTGAAGCTTGACCTCCTACGTATCGAAATTTCATGTAATGTATTATGTAGCTGAAGGGTGCATGAATCGCCACCTCGTCCAGCTTCCAATGGTTACAGTTCCATCTGGGTTTCCTTGGTTCGGAGGTATGTTTGAGTATTACTTCCATCTTGTCTTTCCATCTCGTTCTTCCATACCGACCGGTATCTCATCCACGATATACACGGTACTGTGCCTCAACACTACTCACTCTTCCCGCGCGCTAACAGCGTTTAATTTCCCATTATTGGGCCCACCATACCCTGATCTAGCTCTATGGCGTTCGATATATCATACCACCCTTGCCTGCTGACACTCGATACGACGTCACGAAGTTCTCTTCTCCATCGTTGGCTATTTCATTGGCTATTCCCCGCCTTGGCATCTCGATATCGGAACTGTTTGTTGGTAACTTACGAAAACCACCCACCGCATCTCACCCTACTCACGGAAGGAAAGGAGACGGAGAGGGAAGAGGATTTGGAGAGTGAAAGGATTCCGTGAGAGGAGGGCAAAATGCGGAGAAGGTAAAAGAGTGAGGGAAAAATCAAGAAAAGGAGTTCCTTGTGAAAGCCGAAAAGGAGGAAAACACGGGTAGATGCGTTCCATTTCCGCAGTGAGGGGAAAGTTTAGGTTTCACACACGGGAATGTAGTGATGGCTTTGGTACCACATCACACCCGTGTGAAGATAGACGAAAAGTTCTCGATCATTCGTCGTTTGGGATCGAGACCTGATGTATGGTTATAATAAGATAGATAGATGTTTAACATGACAGTCTTGGAGAGTTACTACTATTCCGGAAATTCGCCAATGAAGTTCGTCAGTTGAAATCTCCGTACTCCATCGGGGGTAGTTTAAAGTAAGTAAGCGTGGCAAGCAAGCTAAACAACTAACACACTGCTCCACTCAAACCAACACACATCCAACACGAACATCAACATCAACCAACAGACTGTTAAGCAAAAAAATAACAACATGGGGATACTAAAATCCCCAATCAACAACTCTAGAGTTTCAAATTTGAATAATAACCCAATGGAACATCGGTTGGAAAATTCGAAAAATATGAAAATGCGATTGGTCAAAAAGAATGCTCTGATTGTTTGCTCCGATGCGGGCCGTACTGCCGTTCACATGTAACGATGTATTATTCGTCTAATTCGTCTATTCTACTCGTCTCTCGTGTTTTGTCCCTTTATTTTCTTTTTCTTTTCCTTTTTTCTTCTATTTTTCCGAGGAAACGGAACGCCCTCTCATTTCTTGAAAGTATCATGCCCTTGTAGGATGCATGTCCACATCTAGTCAATAGTTCCCACACCACTATGTTCGCCCTGTATGAAAGGGAATCGCCGTTCTTACGTATATGCATTGTACATGAGAGACATGGGGAATCATATTCATGACAGCGTCCATACATTATTTACCTATGAGAATAATGTTTATACATACATACATACATACATACCATACCTACCTACATATACATACCTCCGGATATTGCACCGAATGTATATTGATGTTACAATTAGGTGACCATCTCCTCGGCTTTCGTCAATCCTACCTTTCGTGCTTCGTCCTGTACTGTACTGTGCTGTACTGTACGGAATAATAGCTACAGATTATCGCGAGGGAAGCTTTTCATTTGGTATCATTCAATCAAACAATCCTTATCCCACCGGCAACTCATGCTTGCTTGCATATGCCTATATCATGCAGGCCGCCTCCTACCACACATCACTATATTGTTTTCTTTTCAATTCGATCGGATCTTGAGATATCGCGCACTTTTCCGCCCGTCCGTTTGTTTGTTCGGTATCGTGACCAGGTTATAAATTATTTGCATGAATTACTCTACGATGCATGAGTACTGAACACTTACAACATTTACACTCCGTGACTACGAGCGAACGATGTGGCCACAATACTTCAAGGATAAGGAACGGTTGATTATATTATGTGATATTCGAGGATACTCCGTACTGCCAAGTGTAGGGTTATAGTACGGTTATAGTAGGGTTGGAATAGGGTTAAAATAGAAAGCAGAGTATAAATAAACTATAGTGACATTTAATAAACGAGAGGCTATTTAACAAGTTAAGCTGGGTTCAAGGGTTCGGGGAAGCTACAGATTGTCCCCCTAGCACTTTTTAGACCTTTTCCTTTGCTGCAGATAGAGAAATTTGAGTTTATGCTCACGATCCACCAAGTTGAACTTCAATCATCTCAATTAGTCTTTTACTTAGATATGGGTCATGAAGTGTGAATGCATGAATGTTCGAGGCCATCGGAAATCTTACTTTACGGCTGATGAACAACGAACCCAGTAAGGTAAGATCAACATGTCCGTACTCTGTACCCATTCATCGGGCCAATTCAAGTCAATTCAACTCATAAAGGACGAACCTAGTTAGATGGACCATTTTATTAAGGTACCTCTGTACCAAGTACCGATAATTACCCAGATTCACTTCATAAAGTACCGATACATAATATATGCAAGACAGACTCAACCACGGAACTGAACAATCACAACCACGCAGCCATACCATGATGCTACATACCTTATCGTAACCCGCTTCTCCGACTATGCTCAATTCATCTTGACGGAGGAACATCTATCATATCTCACATCATATCTCACATCACATCTCATTCACTGGGGAAATAACCTACCCGCATCTTCAACCTTAACCAAGAGCCAAAGTATCATCATTATGCATAACACAAGTTCCATGCCACCCATATGATATCTATCACATCTCACAAACCAATCTTCAGAAAACAGGAACGGAAGGAAACAGGAACGGAAGGAAAGACACCTCGGCACTACCCCGCCAAAATTCGACTCCAGCGAGAACCGAGTTAACCCGATGCTACATGCAAATCTCATTCTTCATACACCAACATGAAACTATTGGCCTATTTCGTCGCTCTATACTCCGTTCCGTCCCATAGGTCATCGTAAAGCATAGAATGTTACCCTGTGGAAATCCCCCGCATTTCTGGTTGATCAAGATTGAGATTAGATTGTAGAGTACTAGATTGATTACCTTTCCTGCATATCGTACCACATATGAGTTCAAGTATATTCCATATGCAAGAATCATGGCGAGAGCGAGCTGAATAAGTATATAAATTTTGTATCATCTACTTCCAAACTTGGACGTCTGCCCCCTCGTTTCTGACACCCTCATATCCGTATTATGAACGATCTGAATGAAAGAGATTGATTAGATCTCATTCTTACACACATCTCTCCAGTAAGGCAGTCAGATCTTAAAGTCCACTACATTTCTCAATTGTGGTTTTCATCCCTTTATTTCCCATACTACACTGCAATGCTTGTGTGCTGTATCTGCAGAACACTTAACACCACGAACCTTAATCAAACACACCCAGGTTCCCCTCACCATTACACTCACATCTCAATCCCACGATCTCCTTAGCAGGAATCCAATCCTATTCGATTCAATCTCTTCGAATACCGTGAATCCTACCTACCTCGAGCTCTAACTACTTACCACACATATCATAAATTGCTGATCTTCATCCTTCATCCCTGACCCAACATCCCGCGTCGCATGGCATACAAGCACATCCTTTTCTAACCGAACCAAACTTGTTCACACCAAACGCATCCACCACTAATAGCATTACTCCATGATCGACAAGATAGCGGAATGGATACATCCAACACAACACACGAGTATTGTATCCATGCATACAAAGTTACGAACATATCCATTCACATGAAAAGGTACAAAAATCTACTTACATCATAGATAGGCCACACGAATCAAAGTACCACATCAATCTCCAAGCACTACTGCAATAGACGTTTCAAACCCTCGTCAATACCCCCATGGATTCCTCTCGATTCCTCCTTCCCCTTGCCCAGCCAGCCTCAAATGTACCCCCAAACTCCCTGCATACAAATAAATCTTCACCTGTATGCGAAACCGGTCAACATAATCTTACACCTCTCCTACTTTCCTACTCTGCACCATGTATGTTATATTATGTTAAGTTATGCACTACAAATACTACCTACATAAGCTAAAGTACAAAATCACATCGTCATTTCCCCTCCTGCGTACAATATACATATATCAACGTATCAGAGAAAATAAATCCCAAGATCCTCGGTTCCACAATTCTTGACCTGCGGCGCGCGGAAGTGATAGAACAGGGTTGCTTGGATGTTCCGGAAGTAAAATACTTTCTCCCCCCATTTCTTTGACTTTCATATACGTACATACGCATACATACATACACCATACGTGCATACATACAAGTCTTCCCAACCCAACCCTCCCATCCGCAACCCACGCATCCATCCCACCCAAAACCCAAAACCCAATCCTCACAAACCCACCCATTTTCAACCCTAGCCATCAACCCACCCACCCAAATACCCCTTACCAACCCATCTTCCCATCTCCCAAACGCAAACCCGAACCCCATCTCCCCAAACTCAAAACTCAAACCCAACCCCAACGCCAACCCCATACCCAAAGCCAACCCAAAAAAGCCAACCGAACTCAAAAACCCAACCCAACAAACAAAGAATCTAAAAAAAGCCTCTAAACTCCAGTCTCTAGCTTCCAGTCTCCCAGTCCCTAGTCTCTAATCTCTAACTCTAACTCTAACTCTAACTCTAGCTACCAACCACCCACCCACTTGCCCGGCGCCCAGCCACCTCAAAACGCAATACATCGTATAGAAATATTGACCCCCACAGGCAGCCATCGATCACTTCCTCGCTCCTGCCATCTCGTCTATCTATATTCAGGGTATATATTGCAACCTCCGCCAGCCACGTTTGATTGTGCCGATCGATCGATCGATCGAGACGATGTGATGTGATCGAAATATGCATTGGATGTACTGGGAGCGGTTCGGGGAGAAGGGATTGAGTGGGGGGAGGCTCTGGGATGTATGGAGCCTGAAGGAGAGGTTAATTATAGATATTTTGGTTCCGGAGAACGGAAGGGAAAGGAAAGAAAGGAAAAGGAGAGTGAATAGGTAAATGAGATGAAAACTGTATTTCTCTTGTTCATTATTGTATCTGTATGGTAGGTGGTTTACCTATTCATTGGTCATAACTCATCTATCATTACCGTGATCTGGCTTCAGAACACTGTCCCATCCCCAACCCCTTCCATCCCACATATGTTCTTATGGTATCAATATTGAACCTAGTGTTTGTTCAAAGACCAATTAATCAGTCAATCCTGACTGCCATACTCACAACCCCCCCGAAAAAAATCCCTTCTTAACTTTTCCAAGAGGTTTTCCTCCTCTCTGTCCACCATACTTTAAACCCACATCACCAGCTCGGACATATCCTCCCATAGAATTGGCATCCTTATCTATATCCCCAATCTGATTGACATCGTTCATCCTAAATCCCTCACACTCCTTGAAGATAGTCTCATACAGAGAACCTACGGCCGTAGTCCATTCATGCATTGCCTTGAGACGCTCCACATCACGGTTATCCTCAATTTCGACCGTCCCTTCTTGCTGGTTAATTTTTCCATTGACTTTCTTGTCAACAATCAAGAAGCCTAAGATGTCTTGAACTTCTGAAACTGGGATTTTGAGGGCTTTGCCAATGAAATCAAGCTTGAAGCGAGTGTAAGGTGCGATTAATTTGACTACTGCTTTGGTTCTCATATTTCGAGTTACTTCATCAATGTTTTCGCGAATGAATGAGTCGGACATCAGATCTTTATTCTTCTTTAAAACATCTTCGTATCTGTGAATATCATCTCTTTGGTATGCATCGACTAGATCAGTCATTGCGGCGATACGAGGATCATTCTTATATGGTTTGGTTTCCTGAGATTCGAAAGGATTGATATCGGATTTCATCAACATAGTTGTCAAAACAAGATATTTGAGGACTTGGATTCGTTGTAGGGATCCAGCTTCGTCGTAATCTTTGAACGACTGGAAGAAATCGCTTTGCGCATCCTTCCAATTCTCCTCAGCCATATGCATCTTCCCACCACATTCTCGAATGATTCCCATGATTCTTGGATGTGGTACTGCTGATTTAACCTTCAAAGCCCGTTCGTACAACCGCTTCAATTGCTTGTTGTTCTTCGTCTCAGAATGCATTTGAATCTCACATGCGTAAATTTCCAAGGAGTAAGTGCCCTTGCTTGGGTCATCTGTACCATCTTCTAACTCACATGCCTTGCGGAGCTCTCGTAATTTCTTCGCTGTCGCAGCGTAGTCCTTACGGTCTAGGAAGAGTTTCGCCAGCTTGATATTAGTTTTCAACCACAATCTTTCGTTATTAGTGCTCTGGAAGGATTCAAGAGTGTTTGAATAGACCTCCTCCATGCATTTCCTAGCTGCATCGTCTTCAGTTTTTTTTTCGATAAAGTCCAAGATGTTGTTAATGGACTTCTCCGAGTAGTTTCGAGTTACCGCAGATTTGACATAGGTAAGAAGTTCGCGATAATGCTCCACAGCCTGGACAATCATTAGATATGAAGATATGATCAGCCAAAACAAATTGATACCTTATCATATAAAGCAAGGTTAAACTCAAGCTTTATAGCTTGTTTCAAGCCCTTGAACCCCCAATCACCTTTCTCTTGCTCGAGAGCTGGAATTCCTAGAAACTCCTCAATAGCAGCTTCGGGATCTGTAGACTTCAATTGTTTGGCATTGTAATATTTATTTTCGATATCGACATCTTCATCCTCGTCGTCATCATTTTCTTCGTACTCGAAGTCATATCTATCTTGGTTAGCTACATTTGGAAAGTCTGGTAAGGCTTCACATACTCCTCCTGGTCGGAATCTTGCATGAAATCATCATCGTCAGACATACTTGTTGTTGTTGTTCCAAAGATAAGATTAACGTTCGGATAAGTTTTAGTCAAATACTGGCAAAGAGCTTTTTGAGGTTTCGTGGTGATGAGTTGTAGATATATTTAAATATGAAAGGTAAGAGGTACTGTAAGGCTGTATGTATGTCGCTTGCCTAGAGCTTTGTAGTCTTGTATGATTGGCTACTCGCTTAGTGTCCTAGCTCTCTCATTCTGAAAGCTTCCGCCTTGCGATAAACATTCATCTTCTCTCATGCCTCTTTCTATTCAATCAACAACAACAAAATACTTACAAGTCAAAGTCCCCGCGATTGTTGACTGAAGACTGTCTTCTTCTGGATCATTAGTTCACTATTGAATTTCCACACATTTCTCGTGTGGAATAATCCTACCGTGTGTGCCCGCGTGTTTATCTTCAACTCAGTTGTACAATAACGTCAAACAACCTTCAACATGGGTGGCGATCTGAACTTGAAGAAATCATGGCATCCCCATTTGATGAAGAATCAGACACGGGTGTGGGAGGAAGAAAAGAAAGCACTCGAGGAGAGACGACGTACAGAACAGAGGATCAAGGAGCTTAAAGAAGAACGAGCGAAGGAAGAAATTCAAAATAAACTCGAAGCCGCCGGATCGAGAAAACGGGTTGATCGTGTTGACTGGATGTATCAAGGCCCGTCAAGTGGTCAAGCTGGAACCACCGAAGAGATGGAAGGTTATCTCCTTGGAAAGAGGCGCATCGATGGGTTAATCAAAGGTACAGAGCACAAAAATCTCGAGAAGCAAGCATCTGAGGCTAGTTTTATGGCTTTACAAAACGCGAATACTCTGCGAGATACGGCAGCCAAGGTCCGTGAGGACCCTATGCTTGCTATCAAAAGACAAGAGCAAGCCGCATACGAGGCTATGATGAATGATCCAATAAAACGACGGAAGTTACTTGAACTGGCTGGGCAAGACACTAAGGAGATCAAACCAAAAAAGGAAAGAAAGCATCGACACCACCATAGGCATCGCGACAATGACGATGAAGAACGACGACGAAAGCGCAGGAGGGATGAAGATGTGGATGGCCGAGAGGAAGATCGCAGTCACAAGCGTCACAGAAGTGGTGACGATTACGATGATGATAGGAATCGCAGGAGTCGCAAATCTGAATACCGTCGACGCTCAGATTCGTACTCAAGATCTCGTTCTCCAATAGAGAGAAGAGATAGTTTTGGAAGATCACGAAAACCAAGATCACTTTCACCAGATAATAGAGAAAGAGGACGATCAGGAAGAGAAAGAGACGATGACCGACCTAGGCCAGTATCACCAGATGGACGACAAAATGGTAGATCGGATAGAGATCAAAGTAGAAGGCAGAGAAGGAGGAATAGTTCATCCCCGGAATCCCGACCCCCTACCCCAGAACGACGAAGATCCCCGGATAGGAGGAAATCCTATCCAGCAGGCAGGGAGGACAGAAGAGACAATTACGACAGAAAGGATACTGGGAACAGATACGATCAACAGCGCGATGGGAATGGCTATGGCAGACGAGATGATAGAAGATCGCAAGGTGGATATCAACAGCAAAATGGTCCTTCGGAAGAAGAGAAGGAGGCAGAGCGACAAAAGAAATTGGCTGCTATGCAACAGGATGCATCAAGTCTGGACATTGATCGGGAGAAACGACTTAAGGCATTGGAGGAACAGGAGAAGGCAGCTCGAGAAGCTGAGGACAAAGCACGAACAAAGTCATCGAAGTACTCGGATAAGGGCGACTTTATCAATGGCCTCAACCGCACGGCGGGAAATATGAACCTCGCCGACCGAATTGGGCGTCGTGCGGGACAAGGTTTCATCAAGGAGGAAGAGTGATTATGTTTTATGGTCAAGTTGATGGAGGTGTGTTATCCCTCAATACCCTTTGTGTATCAGATTGCGTAGTTTCTCTTGTAGGATCTTGGTGACTGTTTTTACCCTTTCATTGCGCAAAATTGCAAATTAGAAAAGCAAATAAGCATCAAATTTGAAAAATTCGAATGTTCTCCACCGAGTCCACTCGAGGAAGTCGATGCTCCACAATGAACAACGCAAAGTCAATTACGGCTCACGGTTCCAAGTTCTAAGTACCACAAATTTCCTCCTTTTCAAGGATGTGCCTCCCATGCGACGATCATCCGCTTGAGCCACCCAAATGTCAAATGGAATGCTAGGAATTCCACCACAATCTTGAGACGAAGATTTAGAAGATGGAAGGGGAAAAGATCAAACAATAATTAGCATAAATTATAACAATTGAACAAGAATTAGATATCTCATGTACATACCTGATAACGATTAACCGAATCAATCCTTTTGTGAAGTGTGAAGTCAAAAAAGCCTCATCTCTTCCCCACGATATACTAATAAGGTACTAAGGAGAATTTACAAAGTCGGGGACGGTTAAATGAGCTTTGCAGCTGCATTAGTTTCTTCCCCTCTCCAAAATTGCATTCAGAACATAAGGTACCTAACAAAAGGGTAAGTCAAATTGACCGACCCATCATTAATTGCCCAGTCAGTCCATACATATCTCACACGGCCGAGCGGATGCGGATGCGGATGCAAAGTGAGTGTGAAAAGCATCCATCTATCCAGCTGGGCTTGAAGAAAGTAGAAAGTAGAAAGTAGAAAGTTGTCGGAGTTGAGAGTTTAGTTATTAGCTGATTTCTATTATTACCTAGGTATTGTTATTATGGGAGAATTTATGGAATAAAAATTTATACTTTATTCCATACTCATATCATAATCTCGCACGACTGGGCAAAGTTGCTATAATAAAATCATTACAAAGCTTTGATCCAGATCTTCAACATCCATTTAAATTTGTCCTCGCACGGGAATTCCTTACATTATTACAACTACATGCCAGTACCTGTCTAGGTATCCATATGAGAATTTATATTATGACTTACCTATCTATCTATTATCAGTTGAACTTCTTGCTTCCAACAACATCAATTCGAGTTCTTGTCATATATGCAATTGAATCGATAATTCAATTAGCTAATTGATTTTCATTTTCATGTAAACTACATCCATATCATAAATCATCACATCAGCATTTGCCAGGATAATAATAGTATCCCAACGGACCCTACCTACCTGCACCCATACCATACCATACCATACCCTAGTCGCTCTTTGGCCTGGCCCCCTTCTCAATTCTCGGTCCAATCCAACATCCACCCATCCACCGTTCATTATTCACAGTGGCAGTGGCCAGTACTTTTCAATCCTTGAATCAATCATCTCATCCTTCATCCATCATTCCGTCACTACATTCGATTATCTGGCACTCACCATTCACCTACGAAATATACTACACATCACGATACGATCCTATACCGACCGACCGACCGATATTCCTTCACAACCCACTTACACACATACATACAACACTTATATTACACATACAATATGCCTTGTGGATTAGGAGGATCAAAAACGACCCAGAGGAAACTGGTCTTGTTGTATGTTGTATTTTATTTTTTACCCTGACTTGGATCCAGTCTTTCCACCTTATCTTTTACTCTACGGGATGTGAAAGAGGCAGGGAACAGGATCTCGTCATATTACACCGATTTTATCATACGGATAAGATTATGCGATGAAATGGTAGTCGACTAAAGTCGCATCAGAGGCGCAGTGGTGAAAATGATATATTCGATTCGATTCGATTTGATTGCAATTACGACTGCAATTGCAATCATCATTGTTCTGTTGCAGGTTATTTCTACCGGAGATCTGTTTATTGGGAATGAATACATTGCTAACGATGCTTGTGTGATAGAGGGGATGGTGCTTGCGGAAAAACAAGCTTACTTAATGTCTTTACGAGAGGGTAGGTTTGGACTTTTTTAACGTTAAAATTGAGATGAAATTAGGGAGGGGGCTGATGTTGGAACTCTAGATACTTCCCAACAGTATATGAACCTACAGTCTTTGAGAATTACGTTCATGGTATGTCTTTTATCTCTGTCCTTCGTGCCCCTTCCATATTTACTGCATAATTTTCGCGGGACTCCGACTTACATTTTCGCCCATTTTAGATATCTTCGTCGATGGTACACATATCGAACTTTCCCTATGGGATACAGCCGGTCAAGAAGAATTCGACCGATTACGCTCCCTTTCTTACGATGATACACATGCAATTATGCTTTGTTTCTCCGTCGACTCAAAAGATTCTTTGGAAAACGTCGAATCTAAATGGGTAGGCGAAATCGCCGAGAATTGTCAAGGTGTCAAACTAGTTCTAGTCGCATTGAAATGTGATTTGAGAGAACAAGGCGCGGATGATGAAGCGGTAGAGGGAACAGATGGTGCAGAGCCTAGGGAAAAGAAGCCAATGATTGATTATAACCAAGGCTTGGAGGTCGCCAGAAGAATCAATGCGCTGAGATATTTGGAATGCTCGGCAATGAGGAATAGGGGAGTTAACGAGGCATTTACGGAGGCGGCTAGGGTCGCATTGAGTGTTGATCCGAATGGGGGTGATGGTAATGGGAAGTGTGAGGTTATGTAGTGGGTGTATAAAGTATGTGGGGATTTTTTCATGGAAGGAGATTTGACTTCTTCTCTTTGTTTTCCTGATTCTGGGAAGGCGTTGGAGGTTGGAGCGTGAGATCTGTTGTGATTTGCTCACAGGTGGTACATATAATTTTACCGGGGGTAGAAGAGGACTCTTGAGTTCTCTTCCGGAGGGTTTCTTTCACATCCAACACTCATATGGATTTTAGGTTGGGGCGGTGAAATTCACATCCCGCTCTTCTTCCTTCCTTACTTTCTCTTCCTCCTACATCAATTTCCTGGAGGAAAGGAGAGAAGAGGAAAAGGAAATTATTTCAAATTTCGATTCATGAACATATAACTTCAATTCTGATATTTTACCTATCTTCTTTTTCTTTTTAACCTCTTTTTCTTCTTTTTCTCTTCTTTCTTCTTCCTCTTTTTCTTCTTCTCCTTCCTACCGACATCCACGACGCGGAATTAGGGATATCTATTGATGTGATGGATGGGTGGATAGGGTGGATGGTCGGATGACCGGTTGTTAGATGATGGTAGAGCCAAAAGTAGGGTGGGATTCCCGGATGAGTTCGAGGTTACTTGTGGTGTGTGCATGCGCGGTTGAGTTGAAGCGGCGGTGAGAGGATGGGGTGAGGGAGGGGAATGTGAGGGGAATGTGAGGGGTTACCGATGGATCTATATAAGTGGATAGATGATGGGTGGGTGTGATCACTGTGATCGGTAGGATAGGATGGGATGGGTTAGGATAGAAATATGTACTTGTATATTACGAATAGTAACCAATAAGATGGAATTTTTGTACAGCTGGACTTTATTTGAACCTTTCTTTTTGCATTTTTGCGGGCGGGAACGGATAGAGTAAGATTTTGAAATTTCGACATGAACTTTCTTATAAGTTAGTATTATAAGTTTTTTAAGTCTTTATGAATTTTAACAAGATTTCTAAATTCTCAATCTCATCTATTATCTATCATCTATCATCTTCCATCACATCATATCAACATCAGATATTCTTTCCAAGTTCCAACGAATGAATGACCAAACACTTCATTCCTCCCCCAACCCTCTCCCAAATTAAAAATAAATCAACCTCCCTTCGTCGAATCCCCCTTAAACCCCATCTCTAAATCCCTCTTAAAACCCCACCACCCCTTCTCCGCCTTCTCCTTCGCATTCTCCGCCATCTGTCTGCGTTTCCTCCTCGGATAATTAACCGGACTCTCACCTCCGACAAAAATAGCCACATCATATAACAATCCTCCTATTAATGCTCCTGAAATCGTAGCGCCCCATGCTCCATACACCCACCAGGCATTCGAGACGGTGAAGACTTCGCTGCCGTAGCCGACGGCGGCGGTAGCGAGGCGCGGACCGAAGTCCCGTGCTGGGTTGAGACATGCGCCGGTTGTGTAGCCGAATGCCATGGTGAGGACTGTGACGACGAGTCCAACGATTAGTGCGTGCATACCTGCTCCTGGTGGTGCGTTGGAGTCGTCTCCTAGGGCGAGGATGGTGCAGGCTAGGATGCCGGTTGCGACGAATTCGTTGAAGAAACTTGAGGGTGGGCTTGCGAAGGATTTTGGTTGTGTGTAAAATGATGAGCCGGTGCCTCCAGATAGTAGGTCAACTACTTGTCCATTTTCGAGTATACCACCGGCTGCGTCGTACGTGGCAATTGCGTCTTTGTAGATGCCGTATGCAATCAGTCCGGCGAAAAAGCCTCCGAGGATTTGCGCAAGAACGTAGATGAATGCTTTTCGTATGGGGAAGCCGCGGTATATACAAAGCATGAGAGATATTGCGGGATTGAGATGGGCACCAGATATTCCACCTGCAATGTAGATACCTATTGTGATCCCCAAGCCCCAAGCCCAATTTGAGGATTGATAATTGCCTGAAGTTTCTGCCGAGGTTTGAACTGCAAGATTGGTGGCTAAACCTATAAGAACTGCAATCATGGTCTGTATATTTGTTAGATATATAGTATCATGTGGGATCATCAACTTACTGCTAAGCATTCAGCTAATGGTTCACGAAATTTGGTTCGTATTGATGCTAAGGCGTTGGAATTATCTTTTTCCTCCTGAATGTATTGCATCGCTTCTTCACTGCTTAAAGACCATTCATCGTCTTCTAAATTATCCCCCCTTTCCAAATCTAGCTCCTTGTCATTCTCGTCGCTCACAAAGTCTTCACTTTGCGACGTAGCATGCTGCGCCAAAGTTGATCCTGAGCCTGAAGGATGTTCCGCAACATCAGAAAGTCGATCGGTATTCTGCTGACCTAAGTCGCCCTCTCCATCATCATTTGGAGATCTCCAATCATCCATAGGATTATCTCTCTCGGCTAGCGGGGTACCATTATAATCCAATATCATATTCTCCGAATTCTGCCTATTAGATCTATAGCTTCTCCTCCTCCATCGCTCTTGTTGTTGGTGCCCATAGCCTCGGTCTTCTTCATTCCTGCCAAGTCGATTCGATTTCTTTTTCGTTTCCCCTTTCCTCTGATCGTCAATCATCCCAACTTGTGGTATCGCCTCAGCATCCCCAGGCTCTTCATTTGCCGCAAGCTTGTTCTCGACCACACTATTCCTCCCTCTTCTCATTCCCGGCCTGACTACCCGAGGAAGGGGTTTCGCCAATCCCCATACTGGTTCGTCCTTGGGTTTTTGGTAATTTGGATTGAAGTCATAATATTCTTTATCGACATAATGAGGTTCGTGTTGGGGCCCTCCAGCATTACCAGCTAGGGAATGTTGCAGTCGAGCTTCGGGTGGTGTGTTATTTGTATGCAGTCGTCCTCCATGCGGTCGTCCATTATGTTGGTGTGATCTTTTAGAGGTGTGAGCTTGAGCATTCGGACGATTCGTCCTGGTAGTCCTCGCGGTTTTCTGTGTATTAACACTGCCGGCTCTGACTGATGGTGCCGGTGTGTTATGACCAGTTTCCCCATCTCTATCGCGATGTTCTGCCATGAGAGTTTATCCGTTTATATATTATGGTACCTTTCTTCACTCACAATATCAAAGGGGCATGGAGGGGTGAAATAATTCTTTGCAACTGAACGAAATGCACTTACAAGAGATTTTTCACTTACCTTGTGTCGATTGATATATAACATTGTATGAAAGGCCATTTTTGAATGAAAAGTCGTCATAACTGCAACGATGGAGGAGATTTCTGTGGGTATGATCGATATCTATCGATGGAAAAGTAGAAAAGTAGAAAAGTAGAAAAGTTCGGTGTCAAACGGTTTTTGGCAGGAATGTGGATCATCCGGAGCTGTTGGTCCTTAGCTTATTTTACGGAGTAGTGGTCCTGACATATAAAAGTTCACGAGGAGTAAAACCTTCATACATAATATGCAAACAAAGGCAAGATCGGTAAGTTGGAGAGGAAATCTACTAATCTATTGGGAAACATGAAAATCCTCAAAAAGCTTGTTTTCTATTTAATTTGATCTTCACCAAATTGATTACTTGCTGAGTCCCATTGCACGTGATTTCGGACCGACTTCATCAAAGATCTTTTTCTTCTTTCGAGTCCTCTAGGTGGTCCTGGGTCATAGAGTAGAAGTAGAATTCCTCATATGTTCCATATTGTAACGACAACCTTACTCATCAAGTGTGAATAAAGATGTCCTATTTCTTCTTTAGACATGATCGACCTTCAATTAAGACACTTTCGTCTCTTCCTGCTCTTCTCAATCTCTTTCAGGAATCTCTTACCTTGGGGGTACTACCTTCACAAAGTTCACCCATCAAACCTGAGGTGGGATACATGGGAACTGTATATTCGAGTTCTCAAGTACGTGGCCTTCGAACTCCCCAGTTTCATGAGAAGGGACGTACTCCTTCGTCTTGGATTCCATCACATAGAACTTGAAGCCTCTGGGTCTTTTGACATCGCAGCTTTTTCGAGGCTGTAGGTGACACAGTCTAGTACGTTTACCTTTGAACTCCCGATTTCCTAAATTGACGTGCACTCCTGTTACAATCTCCACAACCTGACGACAGATAAAGTGGGCTTGGAATGGAATACGCAGGATTTCACACTCATGCACGTACCAAAATGGCAAGAATTTCTCAGTCTGTGGAGATTTTCTTGTGTCCTGTCTGTAATAGCATTTTGATCAGGATATAGAAGGGTTGGATGTCAAAAATGCACGACCTATTCTTGGACGGCAGGAGAGCTGCATAAGTGGTCAAGACCACAGTACATTTATTACTCCAAATCCATGTATACAATCCTGGAACAGCGAATCAAAAAATCCGTCATAGGTAGACAGTTTCTTCCCGTTTTGTGCAGGATCCACTATTATTATTAGAGTGCGTGGAGCCAGGATTCATTACATCGACCCGAACAACCTACCACGCCAACGATAGCAAGATACGCAAACTACCTACTCACAAACACTTCTTTTTTTATGTACACTCTGCTTTCTCAAAATTGCCATGTCTACGTCATTTTTGGAAACCCCAAAGCTTGATACCGGATTGATCCAATTCTCAGGACTCGTGATCCACCTAATGATCTCAAGTACTTGGCTCACGCAGCTGTTGACCTCCTTTGTATCTAAATTCTTATTGTCCAAGGACACTACCCAGCAAGCGCTCCTTGTTTGGTATAACACGTTTCGAAAGGAAGCTACTTTTCGTTATGTGCTTGTGAACCTTGCAAAATTGTTGAACGTCCAATCTCACCGGTATCAGTTCCGTCCATTCCTTCCATAGGCTCCAAATTTGAGTAATCGCTTACCCTGGTATCTAGATACTTCAAGTTCATATCCCGGACAAATATTTGTCGCAACGCAACCTTTTTCGCGGTATGCACCTTGTCCCCACCAAGCCCACCCAGGACATTGTATCATGATGCATAAGCGTGAGAACTAAACGTTTACTCATCTCCGGTCATTCTTGTTAATAACCCAACACAGGTTTCTTTTGGCTTGATCTGTGCCCTGGCCCTGGTCAAAGTAGGCCGGTTAATGCTTAGGGTAGGAGGCAATCGATCTGCAATATACTCTGGAGGAAATGGCCATCTGCGACCTGTCTGGGCTTCTTAAAACTGCATATGGATGCTCTGTTTGAATGAAAGTGAAAATTGGAATTGCAGTTTCAATGATGATCAATCGGCGCTGAGGCTGGGTGCTGTGACTAGAGATGCTCAATACCAGGGAAATTTTGCATTCTCATAATTGTGGTTGCGAATTATGGTTGCGAATTGGAGTTGAGCTCCCTCCTTTTGCCGATACCTGCTATCAGGTATTTCCACCCTGTAAAATTACCAAATATCAAACCAGGAGCTTGTCTCAGTGACCTAAAGCCTTAGACAATCTTAAAAGACCTCGAAAGCCCTCTGATGTTAAAGTTGATATCTGAAAGTGCGAGCGAACCATCTTGCTATTGCTCATATATGTTACGAAGAGTTTGAATGGCGTACTGGGGCTAGTTTTCGCCTCCGGATTTCGAATAAACATATCAAGATCGCATACTAGGCATATGCGAACAACTCATCAAAGTTGGAGTGGTTCGAAGCAATGATCAATACTATATGTTTGGCCCCCAATATTTGCAGCTTCAACTCTGAACATTCGATATCATATGATTTGTCGAACTCGTCAACGAAAGATCCTACGCTTCATACTCGTGAAAAAAGCTGTCTTTTGTGATCAAAATGCTTTAGACAGCCGGTAATGAACAGAGCACATGAGCAAGTACCACGCCTGGAAGTTTGACCAAAACCGTGTGCAAAACGGGTCGAGTCGAAAGTAACCTCTGCAATCCCGCAAGGACCAGGCTAGGGTGGCGGACTTTGGTTTTGAGAGCTATTTTATGATGACACTATTGTGGTACTCGATAATAGTTCGTCCACGCTTCTAATGTGATATTTCCCTCAATGATCGACTAGATGCTGTACTACTTTACCTCTAAGTAGAAAGCATATTGTCCTAAAACATGGCAAATCGATCTTGGGGGAACTTCATTACTGGAAATTACAGATTCTTATATGAAACCTTCTTCTGTACGACGCGAGACAGCCATTTTACCTATGCTGAGATTTTGTAAGATTTTGCGGAGCATATCCCCGTCTCAGAGACTGTACCTACGAGACCTAGCAAAAAATAAGGATACCATCAAGCAGCAAACAACGCTTCCTATGGCTCCAGTTGAACGCGCCATATCTTATTTTCGTATCATTCTAACTTCTTAGTACGATCCCACTAGTCTAAATCACATTTGAGGGCCTCTGATTCTAGCTAAGCGAATTTACTACTTGCTGGGAGATCATTGCCCGAACTCGAAGCCGTTGCCATTTTCTGGATCAAAGACATTTCAGAGTTATTTATTGCCAGGTCAAAAAATGTTTGAGCTGCCGAATTGAGGACTCAAAGACTATTTTCCGAACATAAGCTATCAGAGCTATCGAAAGCGTTATTGCTAGGTTGGGAAAGATTTGAATTATTCAACTGAGAACTGCAAAGCTGTTGTTCGAAGTTGAAAGATGCATCTGGACCTGAATTGAACTTAAAATTTTCTGCAGAGCTAATAGGATTTATAGAGAATGAAGCTAGTGGTGCTGTTTGCCTGGTTGGCGTTATCCGGGAAGATGCCAAAAATCTTTCTTCTCTTTCCTTCTTCTCTGGGATTAGTTCACGTGTTAGGTAATATTTCAAATGTTCTTTAGGATGCTCATTTCCTTGCATGCCTGTTGATGTTGCCGTTTGTTCTGGCCAGTGATTAGTCGCTGACTGGCTATCTTCGTATGTATATTCTTCCAACATATTTCCGAGCAGAAATCTACCCTTGATACGAACCTCGAGTACCTGTCTTGCTGTCATATGTTCAATGAGATAATACGCCAAACATTGGAGTAAAGTCCTGATGGGAGACTTGGAATGGATGCTAGAGTTCTTGATCATGGGATTATCCCGCTCACACGTTAGCACTGGTACCTGTGGCATTATGTTGTTATCACTATCTAACGATGGAAATCTTACATACACGATGCTCTGGTTAATTTGCACTTGTTCCTTCGTCATAAAAAAGTATATTATTGCAGCTACCCAAAATATTGGCCGGTGTGCTATATGAACGATTCTTCGTTTGTGTGAAAAGAATCGTTCCTTCGAGAAGTTAGGGTGTCATCGAATCGAAAAAAGAGTCGGGATCAAAGCATACTATAGTGCCCCATCCGAGTGTCAATTGACTAGCAACATGCTCGATCCATAGAGGATCTTGTGGATTATGAGGAACGTGGGCCGACGATGCAAAGTCTCCGATCTATGTCTCTCGTTAACTGATTAGTAAAGTGCGCTGAGGATTCTTTACGGCTTTAGATACCTTGAAGATGGCAATATTAACATGACTATCGTCATTATTTCAATAAAGACTTTGTAGAGGAAAGAGATAATCTTGACTGCGACCTAAAAATACTAGAGTGGGAAACTTACTGTTGGTTGGTTTAAGATCCAGATGACACACAGGAACCCAGTCCTGTCGGTTTCCAGCATCTAAACATCCCTTTCCATTCTCGAGCATGATACGCTCGAGCTAAACACTCAAATATAATCTAGATGGCTTTGTCCTCAAGTAGGATGCCGTTTTTCCTGACAGTCCGGTCAGTCCCGCATTTGTTTTCCAAGCGTGGCAGATTTCTTAACTTAACATTATCTGTCGCCCGACTCTCAACATCTCCCTTTTAGCAGAACTCAAGATATATTCTACTTTGTACTACTTTTTGCCGCTTCTGGGAATTATCTCTCCCGATATCGAACATTCCTCCATTATTACGTGGTACAACCTCATCCTCGTGGCATGCCTTGTATATCATCAACACATGAGGAGTATTCCTATCCATGAACAATTAAAGAAAAAGAGAGTCACTCAAGAGCTCCTTATCAGATCCATCGGCCTGTTTAACCACGACATATTGAGGCATTCCTTCGATTTCTTCCCCCGAACCAATCTTGCGAAACAGATCTGCAGAGCCTGCCCCGCCTTTTCCAGGATATCGCACTCTATCCCATGATTTGTCGAAGTCTGGTCGTTGCTTCCATGCTTGAGATATTTTCACCCGGGCTTCAGCTTGTTTTTTTCCACGTTGTGAAGGGATATAGAATTCGAATCTGCTGAGGATGGTTGCCTGGGAGGTGGCGCACGTGGTGCGTTGCTGATTATGGGGGTATATGATATGTTTGGTGCTAAACTGGTGCTTCCAAACTGCTGTAGAAGACTAGGGATTGTATTATTGGCAGGTTGCCATCTCGCTCTGGGCGGTGGATATCCCGGGGGTCTTCTTCTATTTGCCATTGGCGTTCACAATGTTGATAGGTATAGTAGTTGACAACGATAGGCATCCTATAAAGCCGAAATTTTTAGATATCTTGAATTTTTGGTCTTGATAGTTCTAATTGATTCGTACAAAGAAATTGCTGTGGGCGGTTTTTGAGGTCGGTTCACGGTTGTGTGATTGGATCGCAAAATTCTTTGTCGTTGTTGTCTGAAAGTTGTTCTTTCTCATCACAACAGACTATAAAGAAATCTTTATGTTAGTGTATTTAGATATAGTCTTGTCTATCCAGGCCAGAAAGAAAATAAAAGGGGCAAAGGGCAAAGAGGGGAAAAGGGAAGGGGAAAGGAGAAAAGGGGGGAAAGATTGCTGCGTTTCTTTAAGCGAGAGCAAGCACGGAATCACTCCATAGAGCTCATCTCTTCCTTCTCCATATAGTTCACTTTAGCCACATAATATCATTTCACATATTATTAAATGCTGTCCAATTTTTCAATTAAAAAAGATATCTATTAGTCAGAGCCTGCTCCAAGTTAAACAATTTACTAACCTATCCGGATACTCCAGATACTTTTCTCTGTTTTTGGTTTCTACAAAGAAATATATCCAACCCTGGCAATGAACGCCTGCAAATAAAGTTGTCTACAAGTCTATCGAGTGATTTGAGATGATTCAGCACTGAGCCTTTCATCTCAACTCTCGAAATTCACAGCACATCCTCACTTACCATTTTTATTCGAGATTGACCTCGCCAACCGCTTCACCTTGTCGCTCATCTTCCCTACCAATGACTTGGATTTGGATGACTTGAGTGGGGTGGTGCGTGGCTCGGCAACAGGTCGTTCTCGTTGACTTGCGCGTGTTATAGGTCTGTTTTCATCCTCTTCGTCTTCCTCGTCTTCCTTCGATGCCCTCGGATAGTTCGGATGTGTCTCTCTATCGATCCCCTTACCTTTGTCTTCTACACCACTTTCTTCAGCTTCAGCTTCAGCTTCGTCTTCTTCCTCCAATATTGTCGGATAATCCGGATTTGTTCCTCCACCTGTTTTTGGACCTTGTACCACATGTAACCCCATTTTTTCACGGGTGGAAGGGCAAACTCGCTTAGATTTCTCCGCACGCAATCTCGCTACTTCAAAACAACGAGAGCAAGAGCAGTCGCCATCCGCTGCTTCTTCAGTCTCCCGCTCGTAGAATGGACATGCCATTACCATGATGTCATTTTCCAATGCGTGGGCACACCGATGAAATGAAGTCCGTGTGTCTCCACACATGTGGACGATGGTTATTTGTTGACACATGTTGATGGTTTGAGTTGGGTGTTTGGTGGTTGGGTTGCTGTGGTGTTGTTAGGTTGAGTATGCTGTTGGTATGTAAGTCGGTAAGTTCTAATGATTAGCCACAGATGAAGAGAGGCGAATTAAAGAGAGAAAATCCCGGTCTTATATCTGGGACTGCATGTTGTTCGAATATTGTTTTCATATTCGAAGTCCATGTTGTTAGATTATTCCGTAATGGCCTTCATGTTCTAGAGAATAGGGTTATGAGAACGATGCTTCATGGGCTAATGATACATTCCATCACTGGGATTAGACCTGTTATGCATTTCATTCTTTGTTCGTCGAATGTGGCATTATTATTCCTTCAAGATATATGATTTGATATTTGTTATTCAAACTTGAGATTTGCACACGAGCTTAATTCTATAACCCGGTCAGCATGTCCATATACATATATTATTATATTCATATAGGCCTGTAAATTGGCTGTCAATTCAAGCTGTATCGTCAATTCATATCTATCAATCCAAGTTTCATTCAATATATCCAATCAAACAAATATTGCCTAGATATATTTTCACATTTTGAAATAACACATTCGAATATATAATAGTAGAGTCTATCCTCAGAATCGACTCTTTGGATACCCATCTTCTACATGATGCTTGAACAACGATCAATTGGATGATATTTACACTGACTACATCAATGAAAAAACCACATGCAAATATCAACGGAAAAATCACAACTACTCTATGTATTCATCAGTCTACAAAATCCTCATACTCCTCCATTAAATTTACTATTCTCTTTCAAACGAAATCTTCATACGTATTCCAATATCACATATCACACAATCATTAAACATACTGTTTACACGGAAAACTCATACTATTTTTAACCTTAAGTCGCAGTACCAGGATTAGCTTCGATACCTATCTGTCACCCCCTTACAATTAGCCATCGCATCAGCTGTCACGTTCGACTTCCGAAATTTAGTATCCATTCAACTTTCTCGTCGATTTTTTATTTAATTTCCCAGTTGACTTATTACTCGAGTTGTCATTCGACCTCTCAATCGACGCCGCCTCCTATGAAGTTTTAGTACCAGCTTATTTTATGGAAGAAAAGTTTCTGCTTCGTTTAAGAGATCATCATTAGGAACAGTACTCGAAAGTAGCGGCGAGGATTAAAAAAGATACCACGATAGACAGTTGTTCTTTTCATTCAGAATTAATCATGAGAAGCTAGCTTAACGTCATCCTGCCTTTGGGAGCATTTTCGAAAATTGAGATCGGAGCAGCAATTCTTGATCTGTTAATCACAATCTCATTGGAATTTTTAGCAGTCATAAAGAAAAACTGCAGAATAAGGTTCGAATGATAATACAACCGAGTCTTATGGACTAGTTGTTGTTCTGTTCATGATAAAGAAAAAGGGTGAAAACTCGACTAGCTCTGCCGTTGCACAGATTGAATAAGTGAGGAACAATCTGAGCCACTCCATAGTAGAATCTTAGACCTTTATTGAAGAGGGATTGAACGGATTGAGATGTAGGTAGTATTCAACTTATCGACACATACTAGCAGAATATACTTGTTCAACTCGGACTGTATTCTTGACAACAGAACACAAGGCATGGAGCGATCATGAATAGACTCTAAACAATGAATTTCCTGGAAGTATGAGTATCACTTCTCGGACCTTTCTTAACTGATTATTTTCATTCCTCATCAGCTTTCAATATCATACAAACACAGCACAAATAAGTACTCAATCAGATATCGAAATCGCACCAAACAAACAACTTACCACCAACTGTAAGGAGCGACCGTAGTCATGAAGAAATTCTTCATCGCCACCTGCTTGTTTGCAAGCATCGCTTACGTAGCCATACATATGGTCTCGGGAATACAGCGTCCAGATAATCCTTTTAGCATCAACCTCAAGAGCCCCTTGAGCTCAAGCCAGTGGGCACTCGACTTGGAGTGCACCTTCGATCAAATCGGCGACGAACTTGACTGCCGCTGGCTCCGCTGGGCCAAGGAAGAACCGATTCCAAATTATCCAGTCCGCAAGGAGTTTCGCTTCGAGTTAAGGCACAAGAATGATAATGAAAAAATCAAAATCTGGGAACCCGAATACTCAAACAGATTCGTTATCTTCGAAGACGATCGCAGGATGCTGCCGGTATTTCTTAGTTCAATTAGCTCTGGCTACCTCCCACTGGCCGAGGTCAGCAGTAGAGAAATCAGCCCCGGAATTATCAGCTTCCCCATGAAAGTCAGCTGTGTGAGAAATCACGGATTCTCCACGGTTCTTTGGTGCGAGAGACGGGTGTACGATATAGAGAGTCGCGCTCATTGGGTTAGCTTAGTCAAGAAATTGGGTACGGTAGAGGACGAGTTAGAACGCCTATTTCTCTTTTTTAACAGCATTTAATTTTGCTATTGTTTCTTAGTCAGAAAACGCGTTGGATTTCAGATTGATCAGATCTCTTTTCGCTGTTATTTCCTAGATAGATAACGCTTCAGATTTCAAATTGACAAGATTTCACTTTGCTCTTTTTTTCCTAGACATCGAAGACCTCAGACATCAAATTGACACCCATTCATTTCATTTTTCTTTCCTAGACAGAGAACACCTCAAGTTTCAAATTTCAAAAATAAAATAGACAAAATTTCTCATTTCACACTCTTCTTTTCAAGACACAAACGCCTCAAGTCTTAAAATTCCAAATTGACAACATTTCACCTCCCTCTTATTTCCTAGCCAATATCGCAGAATAATATGAATGAATCGATAAAACACAAACAACAATAAAAAGGGCCCTATTATCAAGACAATTAAACCCCAGGATGTATAAAAATATCAGACCCTAGAATGAATTTTTATACGATCGCGTATGAATAGTGATGAAACGAAATGAAATGAAACATGAAAAAACATAAAAATGATAAAAATGGTATTTTGGATATAATGTGTTCGCATTTGTAGAAGCACGCTTATGCTACCCCTTTATATTTGATCTGAGCTTCGAAATCAAGGTGTATGGATGGAAATGCTCCAAATTGGAGATTTTGCTTCAACCAATGCTGGAGTTCTATGTAGAATGGCAATACTCATTCCATCTTAGTATACGATCTAGAGATATGTTCGGAAGATACATCCGTATGATTCAAATGAGGATATTCAGACAATATATCGTTGTGTAATACACGCTTGGATATGCGATATTTCCCTATGCACTTGTTTTTAAGCTGATATAAAGAACATTCTCTGCAAGTGCATTTAAAACTCAAATAACAATGAATTTGATGGTGAAAAAAAACCAAAATAAATGTGAAGTTGAAAGAGGATTTCTCATTTCGTACATGTAAACATGAAGAGTAAAACGCCGTAGCACCCAAGGCTATATTCAAAAACACCACATTAAACCCATGCAGCATTGTCCATTCCGTCTATGATCCAACATTTATGCATCCATTCCGTCACCCACACCCCACCCCACCATGGACGTTTATAGCTTTGGTTCTAATCCGATGGTTGATGTTGAAGACGTACCCATACCCTTTAAATTCTTGGGGGCCAAGATAATGTTATATTCGAGATCCAATTCTGCTTTAGGGTCACCATGGCGTGGTTTGAAGTCAACAACAAGATCTGGTTTTACAGCAAAAACGGTGTCGTTGATGAGATATGGGTCGGTGTTGGGGTAGATTTGAGTTGTCACTGGCTTGTAGTTATCATTTGAGATCTGTAAATTCTTGCGTTAGCTTTTGATATATACTGTGAAATGTGGAATGGCATACCATCAAGTGAATGTGAGCAGGTCTCATTGGGTGACGATCAAGCAACCTCAAGAGAACACCAGTTGATCCATCAGTTGGCAGTGAGTATGCAGTTGGATGCAAGCAGTAGAAATGATATTGTCCATTCTCATCGGTCCTGAACTTTCCTCTCAAGTTGTTATTGGTTTGGTTTTCAGGGTCTTGGAAATCGTATTTTCCGTTGGCAGATGCTTGCCAGATGTCAACGACAACATTTGGAATTGGCCTCTTGGTGATCAAGTCGGTGACGGTACCGTGCATCAAAGTAGCCCTTCCGCCTTCAGGTACTGGGTCCTGTATAATGCTACCGCCAAGTGGTCTGAATGGGGCGTTGGGGCTCCAGAATGGACCGAGGATTGAAGAAGATGTAGGCGTCTCGCCAGATTCGGTCATGATATGATGTGCGATTTCATCGACGACACTGGAAACACTGTTAGACATGGTTTTATGGTAGCACATTTGGGATACTCACGATTCGAGGCCGAGAACATCTGAAACTCGGTGACCTTCATTTCTGATGGGAGTGCTGATTTGTCCAATAGTGTTGACAAAGTTGACACCGGCCATCCATTCATCAATCGTAAGTTCATTCTCTCGTGCAAAATCGTGGATGTGTTGAATGAGAGAACCCATCAATTGCCTTGTTCGGGGATCGGTCTTCGGACCAATAGAGTTGATGACATTGGTAGTGAAAGTTGGGTCGAATTTTTGGAATCCCTGTGAGGTAGAACCAGTAGTCCCTTGTTGTGTCGACATTGTGATTATGATGAAGGTAGATATGATGTTATGGTTGAGCGATAACGAGGGTATAGGGAAATCAAAAATATGGTTGGAATGAATACAGAGAAGTTGTGAATGATGACGGTAAACAAAAGCACTTACCTCGAGGAGTAAGTCCTACCTATATACGATTATTTTTCCAAACATCCTCGCCATACTCGGCTTAACATTGAGAACTGATTACTAGTCTGAAATACGTACTCCAGGATTTGATGATCTAGTGACACCTTCGCAATGGACTGAGACGGGTAGTTCAACCGGCTGTTGGCGCAAAAACAATGTGGGCTAAGTGGTCCAGGATTGACAAGACAGCACGGAATTGATATACGGGAAATTGGAATGCCCTACTCCGTCCAGCCCAATAGTCGAGGACAGACTGTGCAGTGTACAATAAATAAATCACGAGTTTCGGGCCGGAAGTATCTTTTCCCACGTAAAACGTCGCCTTCTAAGCTCTAACTGAGCCCCCAAGTTCAAAGTTTGACTGTCTTGGCCTCACAATTGACCTCATCTGATTGATTCGCTTTCCGCCTCCACTACAAAGTAATACCTGAGTAAGTGTGAGAAGTTCGAATTCCTACCAATTGAGATGGTATCCTTACCTCTGGGTAAGACGCGGAAAAGTCTTTTACCGCTGAACAAATCCGTGCAAAGTCCCCGGATTACGCCCCGCACTTACCTTGCAAGGTAGCTAATGGCCCCGCCACGGCAGACTAGGGGTTATATGACGGTAATGCTTCGATAACAAAAACAAAACCATATCCTTACGGCGGTTGGCGGTTGGCGGTTGGCGGTCAGTTATCAGCTCGTTTTAGAGAGAAGTCGTAACGAGATTCCAAATTCTACATTCAGATTTGAACTCCCTGCGTTTCAATGTATGTTGAGGAACTTGTTTGTCCGCAGACTTTACTCTTTACAACCGAGAAGAATGCTTCATCATTTGATGGTGGGAACTTGGACCCCTCCTGGTGCGATTTTTACCATTGAATTTGATGATGAAGCATTAACTTTGAAATTGCTCAAGAGAACACCAATTCCAGAAGATGAGCCAATTTCATGGATGACTTTTGATGTAAGTTTAGACTTCTGTCGGATGGAAGTCTCTTAGTTATCAGAGCACGCTGATCGAGTGTTTTGATTTCTAGCATGCGAGGAAAAACATCTATGGAGCTTCAATGAAGAAGTGGTCCAGTCATGCTGTTACGAGTCCTGCAGAAATTCAACATATTACTTCGCATCCTATGTCCCATGACCGTATGTACCTTCCCCAGTTGATATATCATTTGAGAAATTTCCTAACATCACGAACAGCATCGGCGGCGAAATCTGATACGAGAACAAGAGCAATTTTCTGCTTAGCAGCAAAGAAGCCACCCTATCATGTTTACGGCAATCCATTTTACGAGTATGCTGGACACGGAAATGTTTTCTCGGTCGATGAGAATGGCGCGTTGAAGGAGAACATCCAAAACTATGAATATAGTCCCGAATCCGCAATACATGGCATGGTGTTTGACGCAGAAGAAAATTATCTTTATTCTGCAGATATGTGGGGGAATAAAATATGGACACATAAAAAGGATAGCCAGACGGGTTTGCTTAAATTGGTGGGAAGTGTAGATGCGCCCAAGAAGGGAGATCATCCTAGATGGGTTGAGATACACCCAAATGGAAAATATCTTTATGCTTTGAATGAAGCAGGAAATGATTTGGCAGTCTATGTCATTGATGAGAAAACCCATTTGCCAGTATTTACAAATATAACATACCCATCAGTACCTCCAGGTATGCATTTCCCCCCCCAAATCACCACACATTTTGTCCCGCTTAGCAACTAACGCATAATGAATGATAGGGGTTCCAAATATCAAACTTTACCGATCAGATGTCGTTTTCATATCTCATAGCGGCAAGTATCTCTTTGCAACATCACGATCGAACGATTCCAAAGTTACCGGTTACATAGCAGCTTTCAAACTTGGACCGGCTGGAAATATCGAAAGGCAGATATGTCTGAATCCAACACCAACAAGCGGAGGTCACTCAAACGCAGTTAGTCCTTGCCCATGGAGTGATGAATGGTTGGCTTTGACGGATGATCAAGATGGTGGACTTGAAATTTATAGATGGCACCAGGAGTTTTTGTATAGGGTTGCGAGAATTGATATCCCGGAACCTGGATTTGGTATGAATGCTATTTGGTATGATTAATAGACATAGAAAAAATAGATAATATCGATCTAGTATATAAATTTTGAACTTTTGAAATGCAATCTTACAGAAATGTTCAAAACACTCCCATATGCACATGTCGGTTTGAATTGGGCGCAGATGCCTTAAATTTTAGCGAGGCATCTAGAACTACAGTACGTACCTATGTACTGAGTACCGTGATTTCATCTGAGAAAAGCCGGAGAAGCTTTCCGAGTCAAAACATTACCGGATTTCTAACCGCTATTCAACCACCCCTCAATAATATGGGGAAAATATTATCTGGTGAACAAATAACAAATATGGAGGGGCAGACAGATATGGCCGCGTACGACAGGACGGTTAAGCCTTCTCCCCCCTTAATCCTCTCATTTCTCGCCCACCATGCGAAACAATATCCAATTTCTGATCTGGGATCTTCTGATAAATATATCTCTCACTTATCGAAACGATTGATACTTGCGGCCAAGTCAATCTAATAGGACATTCTCATCTAAGTCCACTATTACAACATCTCATCATCCTAACCATGGCGCCCATACCCGGACTCCTCTATGTTACCATGCAACCTCAAGAATCTCTTTCTGATTCTCAATGGCATGACTGGTACAACAATGAACATGGTCCTATACGGTTGCGTCTTCCCTTGATCAAAAATGGTTTCCGCTACCGCGCAAACGACTTGTCCTCTTCAACTCCTGCCTCTCCATCTCACCCAGAATGGATGGCCATGTACGATCTCGCAGACATCGCTTTCATGCACACCGCACCCTATCTACGACTTCGCGGGCCCGAAGTGAAGACCGACAGAGAAAGAGAAACAATGGCGCAGATCAAGGTGGTTAGAAAGTTATTTGATTATATTAGTGGCAGGGAGATAGACGGATATAAAAAGGTAGAGGAAGTGGGGTATGATGAGGGAAATTACGTGGTTGCTATCACGGCTGAAGTCAACGATGAATTCGAAGAAGATTACAATAAGTGGATGGAAGAGGAGTATTTGCCAATGATTGCGAAAATTCCAGGCTGGAGACGAACGAGACGCTTTGTTACCAGTAGCATACTGGAAGGGAAAGAAGGGAAGGAATATTTGACCATTCATGAGTATGCCCCTCAAAACGATGCATCAGGAGAAGCATATAAAGCCGCCCTATCAACAGAATGGTCTAAGAAAATCATTTCAAGAGCTTTGAAAACCGAAATAGTTAGGCGCTACGGTTTATATTACACATTCGGCGCTGCACCTCGAAATATCTCCAACTTCTCCAGTTCCTATTCTGCGAGTTGGAATTCGATTGATGGGAAGACACGTACTGGACCAAACACTATTGCGGAAGGTGGAGTGATAGAATCATACATCACCACGCAAGATGGTGTTGAACTCCCATATCGACTCGAAGGATCCGCTGACCCAACTGCTCCTCTCATCGTCCTCAGCAATTCCATTCTCGTAACATATTCAATCTGGACACCCTTCGTCCAAGCATTCCTTGCATCACCTACTGGTAAAAACTACCGCATCCTACGCTACAACACCCGTGGCCGCACATCCAACGCCGGCTCTTTACCCATATCTATCGACCTTCTCGCTTCCGACATAATCCACATCCTAAACACTCTCCGCGTTCCCAAAGCCGCCTGCTTGATCGGCGTCTCACTAGGTGGTGTCACCGTTCTCAACACTGCCCTCAAATACCCGGATCGCGTTAATGCTTTCATATCCTGCGACACAAATGCCTACGCGCCTCCATCGAACCCCAAAGCCTGGGAGGAGCGCATCGCCATTTCGGCGGCTGAATCGGCCAAATCTTCCAACGGTGAACAGATCGTAGGATCCGAACTGGCGGAAGTCACCACGCGCAGATGGTTTGTGGCAAAGAATTATGATAATGAGACACTGAGGAAAAGATTTGAGGATGTGAAGAAGCAGGTTGAGGAAAATACTTTCGAGGGATTTCAAAAAGGTGTGCAAGCTCTTTATCAATATGATATCAGGGAGGAGATGAAGAAGCCGGCCGTTGAGAAAGGATTGTTTTTGGTTGGAAGTGGTGATGGCGTTTTACCTCAGACAATGAGGGAAATGGCGGCGAATTATGGAAATGGTGTTGAGTGTAAAGTTATTGAGGGCGCGGGACATCTACCGATGGTTGAAAAGCCAGAGGAGTTTGCTGATATTGTAGCCAAATTTTTGGGTTAGCTGAGATGTACAGTAGTTTGTTAACTAATTCCAAATGATCATGTCTTTTACTTTTAACTATTTTTGAAAATCTGGATATTCACTCAGCGACATGCAGTATTTCTTGATATTTATCTATTATGTATATAAAATTCCCATCTTACAAGTCCGATTCCAAGCCCCTCGAAGAAAACTTTATACGGAGTACTTGAAGAAAAAAGGAAAAGAAAAAGATTAATTATCAAATTAGCCGGCTAGGTACCTATATGAATAAAACCTCGCATATACATTCTGCTCCATTACACATACACATATACACACACACGCACTTGTATATCCATATAGCTCTCCACCTAATACCTAATAACCAGTATCCTACATCCATTCCATTCCGTTCCGTTCTGTTCCGCTCCTCTATATTCCAGTAGGTACAGAATTGTAAATAACTACTCATATGTCTGTACATTCCACCAGTATGAGATGAGATGGGATGAGATGATGTGATATGTTCGCACATTTATATGCCTACATGCGAATATAAGGGAGAACTAAATTAACAAATCAAGCGGCCAGCGTAAATACATGTATGTATGTATGTATATATATATGTAGGTATATAGCTAGGGAGGATTATATAGAAGAGAAATAAATGAGAGTAGAAAGGAGAGTAGAAAAGAAAAGAAAAAGGAAAGAAAACAAATAGAGAGAGCTAGATAGAGAGAACTAGGTAGATAGATACAAACAAACAAACAAACAAACAAACAGAAAAAAGAAAGAAAAAAGCAGCCGTGCTACGCTAAGTGACGATTTTTCTTTACAAACATGTGTAATTTACAGCGTATACCTCACGGGCATCGTCCTCGTCCGACTCGTTCTTCTAACTCGTTCCTCATCCTCATTCTCATCCTCACCACCATCTGCATCTCCATTTCCCGCATCCCCCATCTCAACATCCGATAATTTACCAATAAATGTTTCGTCTCCCGGATCACTGTCTTGTATCATGTCACGACAGAGAGAATCAAAGAAAGCTAGCATTATCTCGTCTCTATCATCGTTTCCTTCTTGATCCGAACGTAAGTGTGAATGTGAGCGTGAATGTGAATGTGCGTTTGAAGGGCCCGCAACATCGTACTCTCGAACCTTGGCCTTCTTGCTCGCCTTCGGTCTTGGTCTTCCCTTTGGCCAACCCACTTTTCTCTTTTCGCCCATTTTTCCCCTCTTAGCGCCCTTCTCTTCACTCGCTTCATTAGTCGTCGCCTTATTCCCCTTCGTCTTTCCTTTCCTATCTCCGCTTTTCTTATTCAAGTCGTGGATCTCCGCAAATGTTGGACCATAGTCGAAAAGTAATTCCTCCCCTATCAAAATATTACGGGTGGCACGGAACGCAATCCTATGTTCCCCTTGAACAAAAAGAACCTTTGGAGCACAATTCATACCTTCGGCTTCTGACTCAGCGTGATTGATAAATCGCGTTTTATTCCCCATCCGTGTAGCATCAATGACCCACTCCTTATTCAAAGTGAACAGAAAACTCAAGCGTCTTGCATCATAACCCAGTCCTCTGCGCTCGGCTTCATTATCAGAAATCACTTCTCCGGTATATTCACTAATGAAATCCCCTTTCTTGACAGGTTCTGCGGTGAAGAGCCCAAAGCCGGCGTTTGGGATCGGAGACTTTCCTAGGATAAGCTTTTTATTTACTCCCCGTTGCAAAGCTATATTCTGACAACCATGCTGAAAGAGTTCATGGTTGTAACGATCTTGCGGTCGGAGCCGAGGAATTGCTCCACAACTGTCGCATTGATCACCGCATTCGCGGTTCATTTGAAAGCAAATGCAGGTATCGGAACTACAAGTAAGACCCTCAGCATGGCAAGAACACCCAGCGAACCGCCGTTCACATTCTTCTGTGCATCCGCAGAATTGTTCGCAGAGAAGGTTGTTGATTACGCAGTAGCAGTGCAGCTCGCGGCGACAAGGACCTTCATGTACGCAAGGAACGGGTTGGACGCGTAGATTGTGCAAATGAGCCACGGTGCTATCTTGCCATCCTGGCTTGAGGCCGCGATTCCTGGGTACCGCTGCAGGGTCGTACCAATCTGCTCGCTCGCTCTGCTGCTGCTTGCGGAGACTCTTACTCCTGCTGATAGAGCTTTCTTCCTCAAGGTCGAGGATTTTGGAATAGATCTGCCAGCAGGGTTTATCAAAAATATCCACAAGAATGCATGGCTTTTTGGGTTTCGTTACTAGCAGTATACTTTTGAGCTCACTTTCTTCTCCTTGCGTCCAGGCATGATTCGTCCATTCCGTCCTTCCACGGTAACATTCTTCACCACATGCTTCTGCTGTATCTTTCTCGGTATTCCAATGCTCTGGATGCCAATTCTCATTCTTGTTACTGTGATCTCGAGCATTATGTTTTCGCATGACATCTGGACAGTGCATAATAAATTTCTCCCACACATACTCATAATTTGACTTCTTGAACGATGATGGGTCAGGCGAACCGATTTCCGAGGAACCATCACTGGGAATGTTTTTGTTGGTCTTCTGATAATTGTACTCACCATGAGTTGTACAGGCAGCACCATGGCAGATTAGGCAAGAAAACTGTGCCATTGTCTCCAGTCTTTCTGGGGGAGGTGGTTGATCCCCTGATGGTTTGTATAATTTATCCTTTGAATCCTCCACCAACGCTTTGAACCGGGATTGGGATAGGACCACATCTCCCATATCAATATCAAAGCCTGCGCTCATTTCTTCAGCAGCCAGTCCCATTATCCTAAGCTTATCACCGGATAGAGGACCACCAAGTGTTTCGAGAACTAATCTTTTCTCCTTCATAGGGTATGGTAATTTTTCAGGTTTATGTCCTAAATAGTATCGGATGAGTGCATCCCTATTGCAATAACCGTACCCCATATTCTCTAAAAAGACATCTACATGTCTGTCGATTTGATAAATTTGTTCCTTCTCCCTTGGGTCATCATTTCTTTCCGCATAAGCTGTGTGTAGGTCCTTTTCAAATTTATTCATAAACTTCTCCTCATTTTGTACAACCAACGGAACGTACCGGAGTATGTCATCGTCTCCAGTAAGATGATTTCGGAGAACATTAGTGTGATGAGTGTAGCTAGGTGTCCGCTCCACACCACCATCTCCAACTATTATTGGTAGAGCATAATTTGACGTTTTTTGTTTCATGGTTGTCTGTCAGCAACCTGTTAGCAACCCATGAACGATGTAGGATATGAAACCTTACTTGAATGTTCAACTTTATAGCTCCTTTATCATGTCTATCTGGTGCTCTCAAAGATGCAAAGGGGCTTTCGTCGTCGTCCAGCGTATCGTTATCTAATGCTATCAGAGCGCGCAGATGTCGTTTCTCCAGAAGAGCTTCAAGGCTAAGGCTCCAGTCTTCCATCATTGCCTCCTCCGAAATGCCAAAAGTCTCTTTTATCTCGTCCATTGAATTTTCTTGGCGCACCATTTGAGTGAATGCATCTGAGGTTGAAGAGTTTTCTTTGGACAGGGCAGGTGCTATTAATTTTCGGCTTCTTTCCTCTTCAGGACTATTATAAGAAGTCGATGCAGAGCGGGTAGATAAAGGCTTCGACACTAAGTATTTACTAAGATCTTGACCTGTCTTCCTTCTCTTTTGGGGCGTCGGCCGAGTATCGTCATCATCGTCATAGTCATCATCTTTGTCATCGTCATCGTCCGCAGCCTCATCGCCCGCGGCACCTCTTCCTCTCGTACTACTCTGCATTTGTTCCTTCAGCTTTTCCCAGGCTGGCCCGCGCCTTGCACCGCCATGATTGCCCTTTTTCCGGTAAACGACCTTTCGAACTTCGGGATTATCAACACCACTCGGATATTTATCAATCATCCCGTTTTCAGCATGATATAAGCTATCATTTCTGTCTGCTTGCAACCTCCATTCTGGCGTTCCCTTATTGTGATTTTTATGTCCAGTGTCATCATCCCTATCAATGCCCCTGTTCGTTGCTCCGGCCGATGTGACATCATCCGTCCCTCTTCCTACTACTTCATGCCTGCCCTGAGAGGCTTCTTTTGAAATTAATCGACTCGAGTGTTTGTCTTCCTTTACCGTCGATTTGTTATAGCTTGCCTCTCCCTCCATAAGCGAACTCCGCAAGAAATCTTTCTCCTTACGTGAATCTAGGTCCTTCAACGATTCATTGTCATTATGACTTCCAAGACCATCTTTCCCCGAAAAAGGATCATTCGCGTAGAGTGATGAAACAGGGTTGACAAAAGGTGATATGCGGGTTCCGCTTTCCCTCGCAATTGCGGATACCGCCAGCGAAGCGCTAGCTGTTGAAGTTGCCATAGCCTTCGAACTTGACTGCTCGTCCACAGCATCAGAGGTGTTGGAAGGAGGTACTGGCCTTGACGAGGTCACGCGAATTTTTAATTCTCCTGGTGTTGATCTCGCCGAGCTAGACGCCGAAGCCTTATTCTCCTGTTTTAAGTTGGAGCTGACTAAACCAACTGATCCCGAGTTGGATTTTCGGTGTGCTGTTTTGCGGGCAGTGTAGTTTTGTCGGTGAGGAGGAAAAGTGCTTTCGGCCTCGGCGCCATTAGGCCCTGGCCTCGAAGATGACCTTCTAGCCATATCATCATTGCTACTGATGCCACCGTTTTGCTTTGAAACAAATGTTGGTACTTGTATACGAGGCTCATCATCGGATTCACCTTCCGACAAAAGGCTATATGTCCCTCCGTTTTGATAATTTGGTACCTTTGATGGTGGCTTTTCTGATGTTTTCATAGGCGCATTTTCTGGCAATGCGGCCGATTTCCTCTTTCCTTCTGATATTGCTGGCGGAAAAGGTTCATCATCAGACGACAATGACAAATCGATGATTTCCTTATCACTTTTCTCGAAGATTTTCTTGGAGCTTTCCTCGCGCTTCTCTCTGCCCTTCTCATCACTCTCGTCACTCTCGTCGTCCTCAGTGAGATCGATGACTCTAGATAAAGCCGCTCCGTTGCGACTTTCACCCGTAGAGTATAATGCATCTGTACCTCCAGGCATTTTGAAATCGGTGTCTTTCGAAGCTGACCTCGCCTCAGACTAACTCCTTCCGCCTGTCGATTCGATATGCTACCTCTTGAGAAAGCAGGTTTTGACAAAAGATATGCGATTTCATGACAGAAAATATCTTTTATTTGAGGAGGTTTTTGTTCAGTAATTGTCGTACAAGTTAATAAGCTTCAGAAGAAAGACTTCAATTCAAGTAACGTGATTTGATGCAAGTATCAGACAGTGAATGAAGTAGGATGGGCTGAAAAGAGTGAAAGTAAAAGTATTATAAGTTACTATGTATGATATGATACGAGAGATGAGGAGAGATAAGGATGGATTGAAGGTGAGCTAGAGTTGCGATCTAAATATCATACTTCGGGAATGCCTAGTACTTGTATTTCCAAAGATGTACTAGGTAGGTAGTTGATCGTTTTACCCGTTAACCATACACGATTTGTCACTCTCTTGTGTCTCGCTGGCTGCTGCTATCCACCATCAGTGATCTTATTTTCACGAGGCTCGAAGCTGTACAATATTTGTGATATTTGGTAATTTGAAGATGAGAGTACTTAAGGATTAATCATAAAGATATATTTTACCTACATAAAGGAGAAGTTGTTTGTTTGTTGTTTCAGTGATGTTGATTTTTTGTTATTATTGTGAGGTTGTGGTGGTTGCACGAACAAAATTTACATATTACCTAAGCAACCGTTGAGTCGAGTTTCATGGGTATATCAGATATAACCACTGCATAAATTTCAAAATGTTAGTAAATACCTAGTATATCATCTTCGCTCTCCCTTCTTTGATCTCCTGAATGTATAGACCTATCTCACCAGTGTGATCATAGTGAGGCTCAGTACAAAACAGAACAAATATCTGTATAATTTGAATAACATCTTTTGGAATTATCAAAGCTTAAGCAGTTGCTGATCGTTTAGTTATGATCTATTTGTTTACAGTCTCCATATCCTCCATATCTTTCAGCACTATTAGCAAAGATGGACTGGGGATGATTTCTGGTAAAGATCAGCGGGAGAGAACAAAAATCATTATCAATACATACCTACCTAGTACATGATGCTACTCAAGTGTGTTCTGATTAGACAAATAGAGGACATCAGTCGTCCATGGAAGGAATTCAGTTGTGCAACTTCATTTTCTTTTTATAGAGGTCTATCTATTACAGAAGAGACAACAGAAACAGTAGTACATCGTGGTACCATTGATGAATTAAAGTTATTTCTTCTCTTCATTTTGCTTGTCCACTGTCGTTAATCTTCCTGGCTGCACACATATTGGATCTCTCACGTGATATTATACTGCCCTTCCAAGTGGACAACATTACCAAAATGGCACGTGATTATATCCGGTGCACTCCGAAAAAGCGGAGAACTCGCACCAGCCACCTCCATTATTTCCTGTTGTGTCAAACTTCGGCAAACAATCTGCTCCACAATGATGTAAACGTCAGTTTATTGGGTGGAAAAATATCTCAAGTTTATCCGTGATCTTGCAGGGGTGGCCATACAAGCTGTCAAGGAATACATTGCCGTTCTGATTGAAGCTGTCGTCTTGCCGAGTTAGGAATCTACCAAAAACTTGTTTATGTGGGACTTCATGTGCACTAATTCACGTAGTTGCCGAATTTCGGTAGAACCATATTCCGGTCGTTCAAGAAATTAATATCCCAATGCGATGCCAATGTTACTACCCCTCTTCGGATCATGTTCGGACCCAGAGTCGTTCCATTGCTGTCAATCTATTGGGCGGCTTAGAGATATAGTTTGCAAAACCACCCTCGGTACAAACAACCCCAGGATGTCAGTGGGTCGCTTCGGACGAGATGCATGTATATATAAAGCTTGATCCTAAATATCGTTTCCTGGAGCAAGCAATACGATCTCCTACTTACCTGCTGCACCATGTTGTTGCAATCACTATTTGCGTGGGCGCTGGCTATTGGGCCATGCATCGCTCAAAATAGTACAAATAGCACATGGCCAATACACAACAATGGTCTGACTACGCAAGTTGAGTGGGACCACTATAGTCTGATAGTCAATGGGCAACGTTTCTTTTTGTGGTCCGGCGAGTTTCACTACTGGCGAATTCCAGTACCTGAACTTTGGGTTGATGTCCTTCAAAAAGTTAAGGCTGCTGGTAAGTTGGGTTTTCTGTTGGCTGTAAATACTGTAGCTAACTATTTCGCCAGGTTTTAACACGTTTGCCATCTATACACATTGGTACTTTCACAATCCAAACCCTGACACACTAGACTTCGAAAATGCGGCACACAATTTCACGAAGATTTTTGATATCGCCAAGGAATTGGGGATGTTCGTGGTGTTCCGTCCGGGGCCCTATGTTAATGCCGAGTCCAATGCCGGAGCGTTCCCATTATGGTTGACCACTGGAGCTTATGGAGCTCTACGAAATAATGATGAAAGATACACTAAAGCTTGGACACCTTTCTGGGAAAAGGTTGCCTCCATTGTCGCCCCGTATCAATACACTAATGGAGGCAATGTTCTCACGTATCAAATTGAGAACGAGCTGGGCTCACAATGGCGTGGCACTCCATCAAAAAAAGTACCCAATTTATCTTCCGTGCAGTACATGGAAGCATTGGAAGCCTCAGCACGAGCCCACGGTATCACGATACCATTCCAGGCCAACGATCCCAATCTTAATTCGGATTCGTGGTCGAAAGACTTCTATGATGGTTATGGATCCGTGGACATCTATGGCATGGATTCTTATCCAGCGTGCTGGACCTGTAATTTGACCGAGTGCGATTCCACGAATGGGGCATACAAAGCCTTCAACGTCATCGATTACTATGACCATTTCGAAGCAATTTCACCCACCCAACCCTCATTCCTTCCGGAGTTTCAGGGTGGTAGTTTCAATCCTTGGGGTGGTCCTGAAGGAGGATGTCCAGAAAACTCCCCTCCCGACTTCGCGAATCTTTTCTATCGTAACAACGTAGGTCAGAGAGTGACAGCTATGAGTCTCTACATGATCTACGGGGGAACAAACTGGGGTTGGTTAGCTGCTCCTGTCGTGGCAACCAGTTACGATTATTCAAGTCCAATATCTGAAAACAGAATGATCAATGACAAATATGCGGAGACCAAACTATTTGGTCACTTCCTTCGTGTGGCAAAAGATTTGACAAAGACCGACCGAATCGGAACAGGCAAAACCGCATCGACCAATCCAAATGTTGTATATTCCGAGATCCGCAATCCAGATACTAATGCTGCATTCCACGTTACGATCCACAAAGAATCTACAGTTGGAACCAGAGAAGAATTCTACATCAACGCTAACACTTCCAAAGGCGCATTCAAAATTCCTCAGAAGGCTGCGCCAATCGTTCTGAATGGCTTCCAATCTAAGATTATTGTCACTGATTTCAAGTTCGGTTCCCATTCCCTTTTGTACTCAACAGCTGAAGTCTTATCTCATTCCATTGTGGATGATCAAGATATTCTAGCTCTCTGGATGCCAACTGGCGAAGCCGGCGAGTTTGTTGTCACTGGCGCGAAGTTCGGAAGCGTTTCTAGTTGCGGAGGCTGCTCCTCCGTCGGGTTCTATCCACAGGGTGATGACCTCCTCGTGACCATTTCACAATCTAAAGGTATCAGTATTTTGACATTCGATGATGGTCTTCGTGTCCTGGTCATGGATAGGTCGTACGCATATGAATTCTGGGTTCCAGTTTTAACGGCTGATCCATTCAGTCCCGCGAACGAGACTGTCTTCGTCCAAGGCTCAAGTCTAGTCAGAAGCGCTGCCTACTCCTCAGATGGTACGACTTTAGTTCTTACTGGAGACAACAATGGAACTTCAACACAAATTCAGGTCTTCCCACCTAAGTCTGTCAGCAAAGTCACTTGGAACGGCCAAGTCATCGCTACGGAGAAGACAGATTATGATAGCTTGATGGGTAGTCTTACTGGCCCTGCACTTGACTCTTTGACTTTACCGACTATCTCGGGCTGGAAAGCCAATGACAGCTTACCGGAGCGTTTGCCAACTTATGATGATAGCTGGTGGGTTGCTGCTGATCACATGAATACTTCAAACCCAACCAAACCAGGAACGCTTCCTGTGCTCTACATTGATGACTACGGATATCACGTTGGCAATCATCTCTGGCGTGGAAGATTCGAGGGTTCAGCAAGCGGAGTATATCTCAGTGTCACTGGAGGTCGTGCCTTTGGATACAGTGCATGGTTGAATGGCGAGTTCATCGGTTCATATCTAGGAGCTGCTTACCCTGATACTGGAAAATTGACATTATCGTTCAGTAACGTAACTGTCAACTCAAACTCCACGAACATCCTTCTCGTCCTTCAAGACAACTCTGGTCACGACGAAACAAGTGAAGCACTCAATCCCCGGGGAATCAACAACGCAACTCTAATTAGTGCTTCTGCCAAGAATTTCACATCCTGGAAAGTAACTGGTACAGCCGGTAAGCCAGATACAGCGATTGACCCTGTCCGCGGTATTCTCTCAGAAGGCGGTCTCTACGCAGAACGTCTCGGATGGCACCTGCCCGGTTTCGACGACAGTGAATGGTCCTCCGCATCCCCAAGCAATGTATCCTCTTCAGCCGGCGTAACATTCTACCGCACGACCGTTCCCCTAGCCATTCCTACCGGCCTCGACGTGGCAATCTCCTTTACTCTCAATGCCTCTCCCTCCAACGCAGCTCTCCGCGTTCTCCTCTTCGTAAACGGATACCAGTATGGACGATTCAGTCCTTGGATCGGGAATCAAGTTGAATTCCCAGTACCACCTGGAATCTTGAATTATGATGGGGATAATGTTATTGGATTGAGTGTCTGGAGACAGGAAGAGGGGGATGAGAGTATGGGTGTTAATGTTGGGTGGAAGGTTACCGAGGCTTTTGCAAGTAGTTTTGAGCCGATCTTCGATGCGGCTTACTTGCAGCCTGGGTGGACCAACGAGAGATTACAGTATGCTTGAGGCGGATTAAATAACCGCTTAATGGCCGTAACGTTGTTTATGATTTGATGTAAGATGAAGGAAAAGTCTATTGTATTATTTGAATTAATGTTAAATGCAAAAGTTCTTTGCAAACACATTTTTATTAGCTGCTGGCGCTGTTTTGACTGTAATTTTTGGTTCTATACTGCCTGCTTGTTTTATGTAGTTCCACTAAGATATGATTTCTACAAACTTATATGCTGGAAGTAGCTCTTTGAAATAACCATGAGTCATTTGCTCTACCTTCATTATTTTTATTTTCAACATTATTTCCCTTTTTTTTCCCTTTTACAAGAGTATAGCTATTGTTTAACAGATATAGAAATTACAAACAATAATATCCAAACTGGATCTCTGTAAATTCTAAATCTTCATCCCGCGTTAATCGTCGGTACGTCGGACAGGAACATCAATAACCTCATAGAGCCCTTGTTACTAGCTCAATTAGGAAGGCCACCAGTGGGCGGTAACATGAGGCAGAAACCTGGATAAAACCACTTCAACTCAACCTAGTTTATAATAAAATGCGCAACCTCATAATCTTCAATTCGGACCCTTTTTCGACATGTTTACTGCCCTGTATTTCTATAGGTCTTGAATTCCTATAGACTTTAAAATTCAGAGACGTATCTGGTTCACAGTTGCTGTCATAAATTTTGTTTGACGAAGTTACGCTTTTATTGATACCCTGATCCTATCATGGTTGTCTACCTACAAACGACTGCCATGCTATCCAGTATATTTTACCGTCCTCATTACCCCTTTCAACTATCCCATTCCTCCTGCAATCAAAATCCGGACACCACAATAATTAAGCTCCATTATAAGAAATTCCAGCACCTTTAATCAGATCTTCCCTTCACCATTTATTATCCAAAGCAAATTCGAGATCGTTCCCCCTGTTTGGTAGGAAACGAGCTTGATCCCAACCCTCACTAGCTAACAATGCATACATCTCCTCATTAAACATCGCCAAGTCTTTCTGAATATCCTGTGTGTTCTTTTCAAACTCGTCCAAAAGCTTGTCCCTCCCATCTTTCAAACGCTCGGCGTCATTACGGTATTCGTCTTCCAGGTCTTCAACTTTCCGCAGCCATCGGTCGCGTTCTGTGTAGAATGCGACATTGTATGCCGCATCACCTATAGCTCTCTTATTTTCTGAATGGTTTCTTTCGGATCGTCCAAACTTTTCTATCGCGACTTTGAGTTGCTCTTTGTATTCGCGAATTGATTCTTTTCTCTCGCATCTCTGTTTGTTGAGTTCTTCTTTGGTGGGTACGGATAGGCCAGGACAGTTTGAACAAAACGATCTCTCCTCAACTGGCAAACCCTTGTCACTTTGGTCAGAGTATCCGAATTCACAGTTCCCAAATTCGCCGTTATTCTCTGCTTCTGAACACATTCCTTCTCTGATACTATCATGACCGCACACGTACAAGTGTCGTCTCTTGATGCACATGGTGGGCTAGCTTTGACAGGTTCGTTAATGGTATGCGATGGTGTATTGTAAGACAGTTGAAGAAGGCTTGGTGTTTCTTGTTTGATATTTCGAGTTCCTGGTCGTTGGTGATGAAGGGAAAGGAGCAGAAGTAAAAGGGATTGTCTATCTCTTTTATAGACATCTTGGACGACGTTTGTGACGCATTTTTAAATGGAAAATACTTTGTATTAATCATGATGATTCTGAAAATAAAAGATATCTATAATCATGGATCAGGTTCAAAGTCATGAATACACGATCAACTTCATCGAAGTATCTTCCTAAGCGACGTGAATGTGTAATTTTTCGCCTTTCATGAAGCCAGAGCCAAGTAGGAATGGTTTCCAGTCAGTGGTGGTAGTATGCAGATGCCATTATCAACCTTCTGACTCACCTATTATATGGTATCGTTGAAGTAAAGATGGGTGAATTTCCATGGTAATTTTACAAGGAAATGACATTTCCTACCGTTCATAACCTTGATTAAATGAATTATTCAGTCGGAGTAAATAAAACCTGATATAACACGAATCACAATGATTGTGTTGGCAGTCTATTACTTGTGCAAATGAAAATATCATATAAGAGGTAATAACAATTATATGGTTCAAAATTTTGTGTCGATGAGGTTTGACTCGGTTCCTTTCGAGGCTAAAAATAAGAATGGGGAGCGCAGTGAATCCATTGTTATTTTTCTCGACCGTCAGGACCTATGATCAGTTCATACTGCGTATTTTATCAGAAACTTATAATTCGAAGCTTTTTCAATTCAATTAGAAACGGGTTTTGAGAAGAGTTAGGTTAGGTGGGATGGGATAGAATGTGATATGATGGGATAAGAGAAGTGGAATCGAATAGCGCGTTGCTGATTTTGGAGGCAAAAATTAAGCAAAAAATGCATCTGATTAAGACAAGATGACAATGAAATCGAAAGTATCAGTTATATTTGTGCTGGCATGTCTATATTCAAACATCTCCAACTCCAAGTGCCACTATTTGATTTATTGTGGGGAGAGTTATAGGTAGAGGAGAGATATATCTCATGGTTGCCTCTGACCAGCCTTCAAATTTACTGTATCACGCCTCTTTTCGTTTTCGCTCTTTTCCTGCTCAGCGAGGGAGATTCACTACCTTAGCCGATTCACAAATTTCTCGGTAATGCGGCTTTCGCTTGCGATTCTTCTCATTACTTATACTCTTGAACCTTAATCATTTTCTTCAACCTATCTTTAATCTGCTAAGACTACACACGCGATCTAGCGGCGTCCAAGAACTGCAATCTTCTAGAAATATCTCAAGCTAGACGTGAAAGCTTGACATAGCTACCTTCACACACTTGCTCACCTTTAACTCCACTTATCTTCCTCATTTTCACACATCTATCTGGATTATGAGACCTACAAAGAAAGAAAGTAAGTTTTGATACAACATAAAGAAATGGAAACTACTCACAATAATCTAATCTTCCCCAGAAATGGAAGACAAATCGTCCTATAAATATTTCGCTCACAGATGGGTTCGATCTCAAACAACTCGCGCTTATATCTCACCTTATAAAGCATTTGCCAACCCCACTCCACGCAAGCACAAGTCGTCTTCCGCCAAGCCCCCAAGAAAATATATATTCCCTTATAACAAGTCTATTGTGCATATACCTACACCAGCTCCTCAAGCTCAAGCCCAACAAACCACCAATCCCAGCATCCAAGATCCCAGATTTTCCTTCACCTACATCTTAAACACCTCAACTCCAGTCCCAAACCCAGTTCACCACCAAAACACCACTTTCCAAAACCTCCCCCAAGAAATCCGCCGCAGGATATGGAACTACGCACGCTCCCGTACAATCGGTATCACCATATCCTCAGATCACATAAGCAGTCGTTCACCCAGTCCCGTAACCTTCCGCATTAATCGGGAGAGTCGGGATACAACAAAAATTCACTATAAAGTCCATCCGAGCTTTTATATTCTCGGTACGGAATATAGTACGAAAATTTGTTATCCGTTTTTTGATCCGGGGGTTGATAGTGTGGTGGTAGTGGGTGAGTTGATGGGAGGTAGTGCGGCGATGGGTACGATTTTTGGAGTCTTTGGTGTCGGTGCTGGTGCTGGTGCAGACTTTTGGGGTAGGTCGGCTGGTTTTCGTAATGGGTACAGAGAGATGGATTTGGATTTTCAGGATCCTTTAGATGTGGTTCAATCGTTGCATATTCCTGCTCATGCATGGAATTGGGGAGATATCGGTAGGACTCTGAGGAAAAATATGAGGTTCACAAATTTAAGGGAAATTGTTTTGCAGGGTGGAGAGATGGGATTGATTACCAAAGAAGATATCGGAAGGTGTAAAGGATTTATTGGAGCTTGCTTCGAGAGAAGTGTGGAGGAAATGGCGGAGGAGGTGAATAGTAATACCAAAACTAGTCAGACACATTCAGAAGTGAGAGTGGAATATCTTGCAAGTAGGGAAATAAAAGTCCCTAAAATAAAGATTTTTATGCCTAAAATCCTCGATTATGGATGGATGTTCGAAGAAGAGAAGTTGGGGATGGAATCAATTGAGGAAAGGAAATGGGTGATGAATTTTATTAGGAAGGTTAAAGCAGATCGTTGATAGAGATAGAATATCTATATGGTGCTCAGTTTATGAATTCAGGGAAACAGTGTTACTTATGAGAGATTTAGCGAATCGAGATTTTTTGATGGAAAGAATTTACTACACAAAAAAAGAAACATATTTTAGTGGGTGCTTATCTTCGCATTTAGAGCCTTTACATTCTAAAATTTTTGAATTTCCCTTTCGGATTTTGGGTGCTTTTGGTGCCTTGATTACGAATCCGAGGTGAGGATATACTACGCTATCTACATCATCTCAATTAAAGCTTAAGATTCAGATTCAGATTTAGGGTTGTAAGAACTACATGAAATCTAGCCCTTACTTTAGTAGAGAATTTGATACCCAGACTATCCTCTTGAAAGAATGAACTCTAAATAGCTTCAAAGAACCAGGCAATTGCAATGAAATAGCTGATGATCAAAAGTCTAAAGATACACAAACCTAGATAGTTACCAAGTCCTTCTAGAGTCCTAAAAAGTTTATATTACATTTAAAAGACTCCGCCCCTTCAAGTCCAAGGCATACAACCACGTCCTCGGTTGAAGATATATCCCATAATACGCTCCCAGCCCTGCGATTTACCGAGCCAAATTTACTCCATCGTGCGATGAGAAGAGGCTTGGCTTAATTCCGATATCGACCATCTCGCTTAGAAAAGGTCATACGTGATGTGATATATCGAAGGTTCCCGAGGCCACTAGCCACGGCCGAAAACCAAACAGTGCGGTGAAAACAGTGAATAATTTCGCTTGAGAAATGATACGAGCTGCAGGAATATGGAGAATCTAGACAACACTAGGAGCGGTACGATGTCGATGTACTATTATTTTTGCCAGGAAAGTCAACCTGCACTTTGGCTCCTTAATTCATAGTAAAACGACGTAACTGTCAAAGAGTATCTACCACATCTACCTGGTAGCACATAATAACGAAGTAGCTAGCTCGCTTCCGAGCATGCAAGTACAAAGCAAGTTCATTTTTAATTAGGTATTCAGATTGACATGTAACAATGCCATGGTTCTAGGGGCCGCGGCCCCGATTCATCGAAAAGTGAAAGATTGCTTCCTTCGGTGAATATGGTCACCATATCAAAATTTGATACCCAATCAGAATTCCCTCTACCTCGGACGATGCATTCTCGCGAGCTGGGAATTAGAAACTTTTTCGCAACTCTCTCGTCTCCACGGGATTTCCCAAACGGTATCGTGAAAAATATCTTGGAAGTTCATGAAGCTCAGCCTCAACAGCAAGGGGTATTTATCAAGAGTGATCTGTGTATGGATATGACAATCATTTCAGAAGGAAAATTTTGAACTATTAAAATAGATACAGTTCACGATTATTATCATTAAAATATGGTATTCGAGCAGAACATGAACAAATTAGGGATCGCTCGGATAAACCCAGCATCTTTTCCATTCTCCACAACCACAACTCATCCATCTACGCACAAAACCAACCTAATAAGCAACCATACTAGTCAATCCATTCAGCTCCCTTTGGAAATTCCTGTGCTGCGAAATATTATACGTAAACGCATCCAAGAAATTCTTAGCACCCTTCACCATATTCAATCCTTCTTCGGATTTACCCACACCCTCGGCCGTCACAACACCATACGAATCCACCACTTCGCCAGAAGTACTAAATGCCATACCCTCAACTTCACATGCAGCTCGAACGAGTTTTACACCTTCACTTGTGGCTCCGATTGCCTTACAATGGCCGAAAGCTTCGCGGATCCAGTGGATTACTCGCCCTTGTTTGAGTAAAGTAGCGACGTGTTCGCCGCCAGGAATGTAGATGGCGTCGAACAGTGTACTTCTCATACCTTCAAAGTGATGATCTGCGCTTACGCTCTTGACGCTAGAACTCCTGGTTGGTTGTCTCTTGGGACCGATGGTAAATGGAAGAGCGCCGGCTGCGGTCAGTGCTCCCTTTACGGCTTCGTATTCGAGGAAATTGAAACCATCAGCAATGATAATTGCAACCATGCGAGATTCAATTGTTGCTGGTAAGCCTAGAGCTTCGGGAGTGAAATCAAATTGTGATAAACCCTTTGCCTTTTTACCGTGATTGGGACGTCCGGCTTTGGTCGGGGTAGGGGCACCAGCTTTCTCGGCTACTGCTTGTGCTAGGTCGAGATCAATATCAGTTAGTCGTTCAACCATACGTTCATATACGACAGGATCATCGCAATGATCAAGCTCGAAGCTTAGAGCATTAATTATGTGAGACTTTTCAACCTCGGAAACTGAGTTCCAGAATAATTGAGCTTGGTTGAAGTGTTCCTTGAATTTTGAAGAGCTGAGACGTTGTTTCATAGCTGCAATCTTCTCAGGATATTCGTAGTAAGCACCCTCAGATTGCTTGGCTGGAGGAATGACAGTCTCTCGATTGGGCCAGTAGTTAATCTTGCCTTTGGTAATTCGGTGTCGCATTTGACCATCCCGATGGTTGTTCATAACAGGGCATACTGGTCGGTTTATAGGAAGCTCCTGCCAGTTTACACCTAAGCGCGAAAGTTGGGTATCAAAGTAAGAGAAATTGCGACCTTGAAGAAGAGGATCATCTGAAAAACCTATGCCAGGCACAAGATGCGCGGTGCAAAAAGCAGCTTGCTCTGTTTGTGAGAAAAACTCATCAACGTTCTTGTTGAGCTCCAGTTCTCCAATGTATCTGACCGGGATAATATCTTCAGGCCAAACTTTAGTCGCGTCCAAGATGTCAAAGTCAAATTCATTCTGACGGCTTTCCTCGCAAACTTGGATTCCGAACTTCCACTTTGGATATGATCCACTTTCAATAGCTGTCCAGAGGTCTTTGCGGTGAAAATCCGGATCTTGACCAGCGATCTTTAATGCCTCATCCCAAACGAGAGAATGAACTCCTAGAGTTGGGGTGAAGTGAAACTTTACGAATGATCGTTTGCCTTCGGCATTTGTTAAAGTATATGTATTGACACCGAAACCTTGCATCATCCTATAAGACCTTGGAATTCCTCGATCTGACATGGCCCACATAAACATGTGAGTAGCTTCTGTGTGTAGGAATTGGAAATCCCAGAAGTTGTTGTGCGCCGATTGGGCTTGAGGTATTTCATTATCAGGCTCCGGCTCTTTGGGAAGTCAGTAACCATGCATGTATATTTGGGGAAAAAGTACCTACTTCCGGCATGAATGATGTCGGGAAATTTGAAAGCATCTTGAATGAAGAAAACAGGAATGTCATTTCCAACAATATCCCAATTACCCTCGTCGGTATAAAATTTAACAGCAAACCCTCGCACATCTCTCACGGTATCAGCACTTCCACGAGAACCTAATACAGTCGAAAAGCGGACGAAAGCTGGTGTCGTGCGAGAGGTATCTGTAAGAACTCCGGCACTTGTAACATCCTATACTTCATGTCAACCCCGATTTTTAGAAATGATTTAGAAAATCAAGATACCTACATTAGCACTCTCGTAAAGTTTGAAGTTACCAAAAGCTCCAGCACCACGTGCATGGACAACTCGTTCTGGTATGCGTTCATGATCAAACTTCATAATCTTCTCCCTGCCAAAGTTGTCCTCTAGTAATAAAGGACCTTGACGATCACCATCCGAAGCAGATAGCCATTTATCATGGTTGCCAGATTTAACACCAAAGTCACTGGTAAGACACTTGTTTTTACTGGGTTCTCTGATTTCTGGCTGCATATCTGCGACCTTCTTGTTAGACGACATAGCTGAAGCTACCGCTTCTCCTGCTTTTTGCATAGTAACACCAACAACGGACTGCATTATTTTGGTTTTGATAGGAGTTGGGTATGAGAAGGGCGAAAATAATCAAGTCAAAAGAATGAAGAAATGCAGAATGAAAAGATGGGCAAATAAGTAAATCTCGATATCCTGGCGAGAATGCCATGAACATCCTAATGATATTACATCATGCATCTGAAGCGGGCTGTTTGTGGTGACGCAACATGGCAACTTTGCGCCAATAAGGTTGATGGCATTGAGTATCTTCTGTATATTCTTTATTTCTTACATGAAGATCGAACAAGTATCAACAAAGATATTGGAAACATGAGGATTCAGTTCTATGGATCGCAAATTTTAGGAGCTTGTGCTCCCTTTTTACCGGGTAGGTAATGAAATGTGGTACTTGAAAATACCTCAATGAGGTTAGTGGTTGATGTCATAAACGGTAGGAACGGATATTAGTCAGCTGTTATTTATCCAATTAATTTCTACGCTCGTATCAAAGAAGTGATCAATCATATTTTCATTTTCATGTATCAATAAAAGAACTTCGATTGATGACTGACATCGTTACGAATTCATCAGTTATAAGTTGTAGTCAGCGGTACGCGGACGAGATATTGGGGCGGAAGAACACAACTGCGTAGAAACATTAGAAGCACGCGCGGGGACTCCCTGATCTATTGAGACATAATCCCCGTTCTCAACCGACATCACTTTCGTAGGTCTCGTTCATCCTTCCAAAACACAGATCCTCTGACAGTTATCGAAAATCCTGCGTAGAGTACAATTATATCCTCAAGACGTTCTGGAAGGAGGATGACGAGGTGTCTTTGCTTCTCGTCCCTCAACGTTAACGACAGCGCAGTAAGTCAAACGACGAGTATGCCGATAAGCAGAATTGGAAACCACTGAGTAGCAGCACAAAATCAAATCTTCCCTCCTGATTGAACATGGAAGTTAATTAAGTGCGAGCACTCTATTACTCATCTCCATTCCAGCCTTACTCTTCCACTCCCGATAAAGCTCCTTTAGAAAGTTCTCACCATTGACGTATTCAAACACATCATGTTGGCAATCATGCCATACATTCAGTTGCTCCCAGAAACCAGTGTTGGGCTGCACGCGCAATCGCTTTTGACGCACGAACAACAATGCCTGATCTCGATCTAGAGTCTTCTTTCGCATCACTAGATAAAAAATTAGCCATGGTTAGTAGATTAAACAGGAAGGTAGATTTGCCATATCCCAAAACGATCGTACCAGATCTACTAATCCCGAGGCCGCAATGGACCAGAACACCACGGCTCTCATCGAGAGCCTTATCGATAGTGTCGCAAGCATCTTTCATAATGCACAAGATGTCTTCAAGCGCATCATCTTGGACTCGGAAGTCTTTGTGTGAGATACCAAGCTCTCGATATCGAGTACGAAGCCATTGCGGAAGAGGTTGGTCAATTAAAGAGATGATGGTACATATGTTTTTGCTTTGAAGATTGGAGATATTATATGTGGAAAGTATACTGGCTAGGTTAGTTATTGTACAACAGATGGAGGTAGGATTACTGAATAACTCTCCGATCCATAGATTTGTTAGAATTTCGTCCATATTGAGGTTTGGTTTATGAGCACCGGGATTGTTTATCAGTTGGGCCATCGTGAAAATATGAGGAATTATTGTCGGCTTGCCGACACCAAAACCTTGCTGTACGCGCGTAGCGTACCGCAATTTAGGTCGTAGAAAATAAGAAACTCGCTTAAGTAAGTCGCGATCCTGAGAATCTGATTGGTCTAAAATACCCCGGTAAATAATCTAACAAAAAGCTTGGTATAAGCCTTATAACCTCAGGCAAATCTGACTTGGAACTTTTTTCAACTCTATTGAAATCATTCAACTCTGAAATCATTCAACTCTGAAATCATTCAACTCTGAAATCATTCAATTTAACTGTTACGAGGGATGCGATCTAGATCATATGGAAGTGGCCTAGATCCTCGAATGATTTATAACTAGGCGTCAAGCAGGGGCTTAAGGTAATATCAATGGTTGCAATTCGTAACTAATAGTAGAATATACTGAATGATTGATCTTGAGCACGAAGCTCTACAATAAGGAATCCTTCCTGGCTATATAGATCTTCGTACCTAGAAGCCATAGAGCTTTCGACCTCCATTACTCCAATATAACTCTATAATTGTTATGGATCCAAGTTTAACAAGGTTTGTGTACATTTGATCCCCACACCACCTCAATCTCATACTAAATCGCTCAAATCGTATCTCGTAAGCACACGATCGGTTAGTATAAGATCCGTGGTCATAACATTACACGGGGTAAACCGCGCGTACAGCAAGGTTTTGGTGTCGGCAAGCTGACAATTATCAAATAATAAATTTTATATCTCTTTAAAAAGAATAAATGATTTCTAATATAGAAATATACTTTCGTTAAGGCCCAGCGCTTTTTAAAGACTTAGCTTACTAGCCCTAGCTACAATGGGAAGACTTGAAAATCGTACAATATAATCAAATATTGAATCAGATGTCCTATCAATTACAATTCGCAAAAATCCTTCTATGGTGTAATGGTTAGCACACTAGATTTTGATTCTGGAGATATTGGTTCGATTCCTATTAGAAGGTTCTCTTAGAACTTCCTATCCTTCCATACTCAGTTTGAAGCTGGGATTTCAGGATGAGCGGTCTTTTTTCTTTTTCTTTCTCCGTTTTTCTTTTTTTTTTGGTGGGAAAGGTACTTTGCGGTTTGAGGGATGAAGAGGTGGGGCAGAAGGCGGGGGTGATGTCGCGCTAGTGACGCTGGCGGGGTGGTGTCATGGCACGGGTAGAACAATCCTGCCAACTGAATGAACCCCTGGATGATAACACAGCTGCCGGTTGTCCCGTCTGGCCTGTAACACAAATTTTAGAAACAATCTTTCAATTCTGCAAAGAATTCTTCAACCTGGAATCATATGATTGAGTTCTTACAATAAATGGTTTTGATTGAGTAAATATGTCAGGGGCCTTGGAATTTCCATGCCATTTCAGACGCTCCTCCCTAAATAGGGAAGAATGGGTGACTGGGCTTAAGTATCTCTACCTTGTGTTTCGTATACTATATATTTATTCTAAGAGCCCTCCCTCCTATTTTACTTTACTCCTCCATCAAACATCCATGACAATGATATAAGGGAGTCTTTCCATCCCTCATTGCCTAATATCGATATACCAGAATTCTGTCTGTATTACATTGACATCCACCACATCTCCCATTTCCAGTGGTAAGCACTTTGCAAAGATAGGGCCGGACATTCTCAATAAATCTTCATCAATTAGATTCTCATAAATGTTATTGAGTGAATAAAAATGCGATATTCCTTTACCCCACTAAGCCTAAAGATCTCCCCCTCCAAACTTCCCTAACTCCCCCAACTTCAATCCATCACAACTTCTTCAATTCTCAACTAGTTGTGACTATTTTTGTATCAAAATGATGCTCTTGAATAAGCAAAAAGTAATTGATCACTGGTGGGATCGAACCGCATTCAAAAATGAGGATATACAAGATCAAAGAAAGGGTCGATCCCTCGGCTGGCGACCAGATTGGAGATTCACGCTACCTGAACTTTTCAAGTAATGATATCAAAATAATTCCAATTAGAAACCCTTAAACCAAACACAAAAATTCTTAACTTTGCTAAATAAAAAATACGGAATGTTAATCTTAGGCTTATTAATTCTGTCCGGGCGGTTTCTACATATAACATATCACATATATATAAGTGGTATACCAGCATCTATCTCATTGTAGATGAGAGGATATTAGCACCACGCTCTAACCAGCTGAGCTAAGCGACCTAATTGGGTTATTGATGGACGAATAATTTATGGGTTTTCGGATACACAGATGTTGATTTCTGTTGAGAATAAAGAGGGGTGGAGGGTTTGCTTGGTTGTTGTGGATCTGTGTTGGTATGATACGGAGTGTGGAGGAGTAGTTAATGATTGGTCAGTTGTAGAGACGCAACTTATCACATGCATGCAGAATTCATTCGACCACAATCACATCAAGGCAGATCTGCCACGTAACACGTTACATCAAAGATGCTCCACTCTCCAACGAATGCTCATCGAGCTACCACTGCATACTTTTCGTCAACCGCTGACGGATTCAACTGCCGTGCAGAAGAACAGCACTTTCTGAACGCGATGTATTGAAACAATCAGGACATCGGAGCAGAAGCAAACAATTCTCCTTCATATTAGCACAATTCTCACAATGGTCTTATCAAAACTATCAGCAAAAAGGCTCTCATCTGTTCCGGAAATTGCTCCTTGAGATTCTCGTCTCACCTGGTTTTGTGCTAACTCCTATATCGAGCCCTGCATGTGTTAAAGCGGTTACCTAATTAGTTTAGATCATCCTTCTCTCCAGGCTTCAGTTGGAGGTAGAAAAGCGAGTTGTTTTAAAGGGTAAGGGTGTAGATTGAAGAATAGAACTAACAAGGTATTTATACCCGGATCAATATTAGATCTAAACTAAATTAGTATATATATAATCTGATAAAATTATTCTTGTTACAACTCCAGATATATACCAATCGTGCCCTACAATTATACCTAAACGCCTCCGAAACGATCATATCGATCCCAAGACAAATTTGATAAACCGATATCCCCGATCCTTCAAAACAATCCTTTGTATTCAATAATAAACAATACAATATATATATTTCTACAAATTATTTTTATTTAAATTATTTAATAATTTTTTTTTCTAACTTTTAACCCTTTGATTCTCAAAATATTATAATTATATTACAGATCCCAAAATGAAAATATAATCAATTTATAAAAGACTTTATATTTTTCGATTTGATAATTATTATACAAATCTTTTATTTTAAAAATTCGATATATTATTATCAATAAATATCTCAAAAAGCTTTTTATATATATATTTTAAAACATCAACAAATCTTATTCTTCTTTAATAATCAAATATCCCTTTTATAGACAAAATAACTTCAAATAATCATCATAATATATTCTCGGAATCAGAATCTCATCGATCTATTTAATAATATACAAACGTTTATAATCCTTACTAAATCCAATAATAACAAATAGATTATATCAATTAACTTTTAATTTCTATTTAACAATCTTAAAATTATAAAATATAATAAACTATTCTAATATAAAGGATTTATAATATATTTTCTGATTATATTATTCTTTATTTCTTTTCTATTATATATCTAAATATTTATTAATATCTTATAAAATATATTCTCAATTGATAATAAATAAGATAACTATTTTGATATCGAAAATTTTATTATTATCAAAACAAATATTAACAAATATAAATATAATTATATTTTCTTAATAATGATTTGGAAACTTATAATCAAACTCTTTTATTGATTAAAATCTGAAAAAGATTTTATATAACAAATAACTTAGATATAAAATATCCTAACAATTAATTTCAAATACTATTTTTGTAATCAAAAGTCTTTATATTCTATAAAGATTATCTAAAGATTTATTTAGAATATTCTAAATGATTCGAATAATTTATTTAATTATATTTATAATCTTTTTAATTACAATTAATAATATTATTTATAAAACATTATATTTTTCAATATAAATTTTAATTATAATTTTGAAATAAAAACCCAAATCTATATAGAATCCAATTGATATTTTAAAATATATAAACAAATATATTAAATATTGAATAACTTTTATATTTATATTAGAAATATATAAAAACATTTATATATATTGTAAAAAATAATCAATAATAAATAAAATATATTTATATAAAATTCTATTGATTTCAATAGATGAAAATAAACCAATAAAATCAATTCCTAAACAATTCATAAGTACTTCGATTATAACTTTCGATAATATTTGAGATCGAATTATTAATCCAAATTCTATATATCGAAAGTATTCAAAACAATAATCTATAATATCTTTTGTTATAATTGGTTAATATATATTATATAATTTCTGAATAAATATTTGGGAAACGAAATGATTTGATAGATTATAAACTTTATATAATACTAAGACAATTTCTGTTTTTAATATACAATATTTTCAAACATTTTTAAAGATATAATATAAAACTTTTTCATTTATTGATAATTTATATCTTGAATATTTGTAATTGAAAACTGTTTATTATAATCTGTTTTGATTATTAGAAAACTATTTATATTTCAGGAATTAATAGATATTTGAAAATCATTTCGAGGATTTATAAACGAATATTATCTAATTGATATCATTATTGATTAATATATTTCTTATATATAAATCTTTCAATTAAACAATTATTAGATTTTTTTCAAGATATAAATCTTTTATATTATTTAATAATTCTATTTTAATACTAAATATTATAAATTTAGTTAACTTTTTTATATATAAAGATTCCGAAATATTCTTGAATAATTCTTTATAATCTTCTTTATTGTTTTTCTAGATCTATAATAATACATTATTTACAAAATTGATATCATTGATCTTTTACAACTTTGATATATTTGAACAATTAGAATCTGTAAAGATAATCTGAAATAAAACATCAACGATCTTATTTTTAGAATCTAGAATATATTGAATAATAATATTAAATATATATAACTCTAAAATCCATTTAATATAAATATCTTTATAAAACCTACAATCGAGAAAATAAACAATTGATTGATAATTAATAAAAATAAAGCTTGTATAATATAAACTTCGAAATATATAATCAAATTTCCGAAAGAATTCAACAATAGAATAAAATTCCTATTTATAAATATTATAATTATATTAAGTATTCGAAAATATAAATGAATTATAAAAGATCAATATTTCAATTCCTTTTTAAGTTTGTATAATAATATATTCTATTACAAATATCAAAGTATCCAAATATAACTTGATTAATTGATTCAATTGATATTTATATATTTCGATAATTATCGAATAGAATTCTTTAAATAAATCAAACAAATATTATTCGGAATCTCTTCAATACTAGTCGATATTCTTGTTTAT